AATAGCAACAACAAGAACTTAACTGTACGTATGAGGTGGCAGCAACTGTTTAACAGCTTTTAACTTGCCGCTTTTTTTTATCTATATTTAATTTGTGTATACAAACATACATACATATGTACAAATAAATACATGCACCTACATAAATAAAATTATAAGTACAAGTATGGATGTTGGTATGTTTGGTATAAATATGCACATATGACTACACTAACTTTTGTTGGGTGTACGCCTTTATGTTTGCAGGTACATATGTATGTGCATATGTATGTACATATGATTGGAAGCTCTTGATTGCGTTTTGTTTGTTTGTTGCTCGCTTTTGTTCCTTGTTTTATTATATACATATGTAAGTATATATGTATGTATGTATTTTTTGTCATTGAATTTGTTGACTTTTTACTGTTGTTGTGGCGATTGTTGAATGAAAAAAGATTAAAAGCAGCTACTCACAAATGAAAATAAATGGCGGCAGAGAAAATATTCCTTTCTGTCGTTGTTGTTGTTCCTTTTTTCACACGCGCGCAACAGTTGGTTGATTGTTGAGTTCGATTTTTTATTTTTTGTGAATGTGTTGCGGCTTTGCATTGTTTTGTCGCTGCTCGTTGCCTTTGTTTTTATTTTATTCTTTTATTTTATTTTATTTTTTTTTTTGGTTAACTTTGTTGTTGGTGTTACTCTAGAGAGTAGTTTACGCTTGGAACTTTGATTTCAGCGCTAACAAGTTTTTTTTTTAGTTATTTTTGAATTTCTGTCCTAAACGCAGCTGGCACCATACACGCATACATACATACATATTTACATACATGCACATGTATAAATAGAACCAAAAAATTTGTTGTTGTTTCTGAATAAGATTGCCGTTAATGAAAATTTAGGCGCAAACACATCTGAATAAAACGTAATGTTTTTTTCGCATATTTCTACTCTTGTACATACTTATGTACGTATGCTCGTGTTTGTTTATATGCTTGAACCTCCCTACAGCACACCTGTCACATATGTTTTTATTTTTTTTTATTTTCTTCTACGCTTTTATTTCTTCTATTATTTTAATTGTTTTTCTATCACCTAAAAATGTATTTTATTTATATAGGAAAATACTAATGTGCTAATCTATATACATATATACATATCATATATGCCAATATAGTATACAAATATACACCTTTTTGTTTGGTTATCTAATGAACTGTGGCACTGGGGTAGTTAGTTACAACATTTATACAAATTTTCCTTGCCGGCTACCTGACCTACGACAATTATCGGTTTTGTTTTTATTTCTCATTTGCTCTCCGTCGCTTTGCCGATCTGATTAGTTTGCCGATTACATTATATGATAACACATACATATACACGTATGTATGTATATAAACATTCGTAGGTATGCATGTAAAACTTTATAATTGCTTACATTTACTGCAAATGGCCTGCACGCGTGATGACTTTCTTATTAAGTTGTTTTGGAAGGCTTGTGTTATACATGGCGTATGAGTAACTTTTGTTCCCCTTATTTGTTAACAAATTTTTCTGAGTATTTGTGTGGGGGTGTGTACTGTGTATTGCGCTAACGATGTGTAGTGTTTTCGGCGAATTTAATCAAACATCAGTTTATTTGGCATTCTCTCGTACGCTTAACTTATTTACCTAAATACGAACAAATGAATCCGGATTAGTCAGATTTTATTCTGAGTCAAAGGTATGATACATTTTATGGCGCCGCTGACTCAATAGATAATATGTAAAAATATGAAGAAATACAAAATATTGCAGGAAATATATAACAAAATAAAATAAAATATTTAAAAATAATATTATATAAAATAAAAATTCAAAAATATAACAAAAATGATGTTATATCAAAAAAAATAATGTACTTAAAATAAATAATATCGAAATATAATATAAAAAAATAATATAAAATGCAATATAAAAAAGAAATATAAAATATAATATAAAATAATATAAAATAATATAAAATATAATATAAAAAAATGTAAAATATAATATAAAAAAAATAATATAAAAAATAATATAAAAAAATAATATAAAAAAATAATATAAAAAAATAATATAAAAAAATAACATAAAAAAATAATATAAAAAAATAATATAAAAAAATAATATAAAAAAATAATATAAAAAATAATATAAAAAAATAATATAAAAAAAAATATAAAAAATTATATAAAAAAATAATATAAAAAAATAATATAAAAAAATAATATGAAAATATAATATGAAAATATAATATGAAAATATAATAAAAAAATATAATAAAAAAATAGTATATAAAATATATAAAAAATAATTTAATGGAAAAATATTAAAAAAAAGCATAGTATAAATAATAAAGCTTGTGGAGACATACGAAAGATCTGTCAAAATATGACTTCAAATTCAAATAAGATAAAAAAAAAATAAAATTACTCATGTTTTATTTCCCTAGAAGTATTGTAGTTCAGCTGAGCCCTTTTTGGTATGGACCCAAAGCTCTTCGGAAGTATATCTCTTAATCGTCGTGAAGTGCCTCTGAACTATTTGAAGCCAAATCTGATGCATGAGCACTGAGTTGGGTTTGCCAAATATTTGCGTAGAAGCCATGACGAGTGAATAGATATCTATGTATCTATGCATCTATTATTTTTTCCATTTGTTTCCGATTGTTTCGGCGCATACAATCCCTCGTACTTCCTGGGTTTTTCCATTCGTATATCGTCCTAATTGAGCTTTGGTGGTACCAATGTCATAACGATATATCCACGGTTCATATACCGACTTTTCAACCGCCAATATCATTAATAACTTCTCTTAATAGAGATTTAATGATTTTCTGTAAAAAAATGTATTTTCTTCCCAACTGCAAATCAAATCAAATTGATGAATTCATCATATATAATTTAATTTTTAAATTACAGGTGATTCCCCTCGTATATTATTTGTACATACATATGTACATATATGTGTGCATACATAAGTTTTTCGATTTTCCTACACTAAAATGTCTTTTCTTCCATAAAATGTGTGTTTTACAAGCAATTCTGTTGATGCATTTTCCATGGATGTTGCCAACTCAACATTTTCAACATTGTCAATTTTTCATACATATGTGTATGCATGTGTTATGCATGTCTAATCGTCAACAGCTACGCAGCCAGCCAAGGAAGAAAGTCTCATCAGCAACTCATTGTTCACCAGAGGGAATTAAATGCGATATAATAAATAATTGCCCGACTGACTGGCTGGCTACCTTCATCATCATCATCATCATCATCTACCATATTATTACTCTTACGCTTACATACAAATTTAAATTCACGTTGCAATTGCATTTCATTTTCAGCGTAGGAGATTCTTGCCGACAGACTACCAATAACAAATTTGACTGTAGAATGACAATTTTGCTGTTTCTACAGCGTCTTTTATATCTCCGAGCAGTTTGAGTTTTGTAGTCAACATTTTATTTTCCAATATATATTTTTGAATGCATATTATATGTATTTGCTGTATGTACATGTATATATTATATATGTATATGTATGTACATACATATATATGTATGCATATCTGTTATATACATTTTATTTTATATACATTTTTGTTATCTCTCAACTTGTCTGCACAAATTTAACTCTTGAATAGCTTCGTTGCAACCGCATTATATTTGCACAACTCCCACGCAGTTGCAACCATACAAACATATATGTAAATGTACATACATACATATGTATGTACATTCACTCTTTTATTTGGTTGGTTGTTTGCCTATCGTCACTTCATCACTGTCAACTTCAACACTAGCACTAACGCCGGCACCTTAATTATAAATGCATACACATATACATACATATATGCATATACATATGTATGTATGTTTATAAATGTATACTATATATAATTTTATACTCGCATACGCATTTATGTACATATGTGTATGCATTGTGTATAGCTGTCTATTGCCGCACTTGTATTGCATGTACTGAGCTCATGGTTTAACTTCTATGTACATACATACATACATATGTATGTATGTAAATAACCCCATGTAAAATTTAAATTTATTGTTTTATTGTGCATGCTGTAAATAAATTTTATCTAGTATACCGGAATATGTGAATTTGTACGAGTATGTGCACATTTTGTTGTTGCTACTGTAAGATGCTATTGCCTGCCAGCCAAGCCATTTTTCATTCTGTTGGCGCTCATCTGTGCTACTGGCATGCGGGCGTTTGTTGTTGTTAGTATTGCATTTACATGTTTGTATGCATATGTGGTATGTGGGCCAGTTTGGGTGGGTGATGTTGCCACCTGCACAAGATGAGGTTGATCTCTACAGAACTTGAGCGCTATTGCATTTTGTTGGGTTTCTTTTTTTTAATGAAATTACACAAAACACACTATGCAAATTGAATTTCCAAAAGAGTGATAAGTTAAAGGACAAAAGGGAGAAAAATAGAAGAATTTTTTGTTTGTTTCCAAATCCTACTAGAAGTCCTTTAATCCGTTTCTCCTTGTGTCTTGATTTAAAAGTGAATTTAAGTTATTATTAAAATTTTTTTTATACATATGTACAGTTATACTACAAGTAAGTACATATGCATAAGTAAGGCCGTAAAAAGCTGTTATAGCACACTTGTTATGCAAATTTACAAGCAAAAATATTAATTATTTTTATTATTTACAACTAAATATTTAATAAAAATACCCAGCCACACCTGAGTATTATAATATATTTACACTTGTTTGTACTATGCAACAAACTTTAAAATCAGTATTAAACTGAATAAATTAAAATTATTTATCTTACATGTGAAACATTTCAAGTATACTTGAAATATAAAATATTTAAAACTACAATGTTACATATAAATACTTTAGTAAATTACTATTCTTTGATATTTATTTTCAATAATGTATGCAAAAATTATATAAAATTGTTATTGAACATCATATCAATAGAACACAATATTTATTTTGCTATTTTATTCTTTCTACTATAGAGCACGATGATTCGTGGCGCTAAAGCTGATGCGAAACCCCGAGGCCGTATGACCGCGTACGCTTATTTTGTACAAACATGCCGAGAGGAGCACAAGAAGAAGCATCCCGATGAGACAGTAATTTTTGCTGAATTCTCACGGAAGTGTGCTGAGCGATGGAAGGTGAGTTTTATTTTGAAATATTTATTGCAAAATTTTTATCATCCAATTCTTGTGACATTTCCAAGACTCGAAGGAGAGGAAATTAAGAATATGATTGATTCTTTTGAGATATCTCCAATATACTTAAAACAGTTTGTGTTTAAACATACTAACGAATAGATATAGACTGATTATAAATTTGTATCCCATTCGCTGATATTTACAATATGTACATATGTATCATTTCATGTTTTAAAATGGTATAAATTTTGAAGAAGTGAAAAGTGCATTTAGGTGTATTCCTAATTTTTCGGTAAAAAATACATTCTTCTCTCGGGATTTGCATTTTTGTTACTATCTTGCTCCGAAACGGATGACACATCGTATACCTACAGAGTATGAGGAGAAGTTCCAAACATTATTTCTTTCGTACATAAACTTTGGAAATTTTGAAGACTTATTATTCTATTATGTTCAATTATAGCAACCGTCAATAATGACAAAGCCATATTTGAGGTGATGTGAAGAATTTTTGAAGGACTCATATAGTGGACTAATGGGTTTGAGAGATTGACATCATACATATTCAGAAAATATACTTTGGTATACACGAAAGAAAAATAATCGCAGAAGCAAACGACATATTGGATGAGTGCATAAGTTCGTGCCTGATTCCGCTGGATGACGGTCGAATCGTTTGAGAGTGGCGCTGGTGAAAGAAATATATACATATTATATATATATCGTTGGAAAGGTGACAGTTCGAACTGTAAATCAAGCATAAAATGACTTCATTTTGATTTGAGTTGCTTAGTGAAAAGTCGCATGGAAGATGGACAACGAAAAAGATCATATGCGTCATATTATGTTATACGAATTCCGCAAAGGAAAAACAGTAGGCGCTACAACTAAAGATATTCGCGAAGTTTATTTGGACCGTGCTCCAGCACTCCGCACAGTAAAGAAATGGTTCGCGAAATTTCGTTCTGGAGATTTTGGTGATGAAAAATGGATCCTGTACAACAATGTTCATCGCAAAATAACATGGAAACAGGCACGCGAAGGGGCGGAACCGATGTCGAAAGGTGGATTGCATCCGATGAAGGTACTGCTGTGCATTTGGTGGGATATCGGAGGCGTGATCTATTTTGAGCTCTTGCCAGCTGGAGAAACGAACACTGCCAACAAGTATTGTCAGCAATTGGTCGAATTGAAGAAAGCAATTGATGAAAATCGTCCGTTTTTGGCCAATCGCAAAGGAGTTCTTTTCCATCATGAGAACGCCAGGCCACATGTTGCAAAACCGACCCTGGGCAAACTGAAGGAGATGAATTGGGAAATCATGCCGCATCCCCATATTCACCCGACATTGCACCTTCTGATTATCATTTGTTTCGATCGCTGCAGAACAATTTGAATGGAAAACAATTTAAAAATGTGGAAGACGTCAAAAACCACCTTGACACCTTTTTCAACGAGAAACCGCGCTATTTCTATGAATCAGGCATCCGCAAATTGGTTCAACGTTGGGAGTGGATTGCCGAACATGATGGCGAATACACAATTGAATAATAAAAGCGCTTTCTTCAAAAAGTTTCAATTTGAGTTTGCACTTGAAATCGGGCACGAACTTATGCACTCATCCAATACTTCCATCCAAAATATCCTATTTGAAAGTCGAAACCTCTAACCACTCATTGTAATAAGTTTCCAATATTTTTGTACTCCGAAATTGATCATTTTATTCTAGTTTTGCTATTTGAGAAAAAATATATAAAAACCAAAAGGAAAGTAAATTCGATCTGTTTAGTGCTTAAAAATTTAAATCAGTCAATACATGAGAGCTTTATTGGCTATAGTTATGAGTTGAACAGGATTTCGATCTTCGGTAGCTTTCGGAAATCTAATTTCGAGTGTGAACTATGGTACCCGAAAAAGTAGCCAAAGCGGCTTGATGTTTTTCCAACGAATGGAGGGGCCGACAATTTATATTAAGCCGCCTCCGATCGGCTGATGTTTTTATGAGAAGCTTTATTTCACGTCAGGGGGTTGGCATTCCCTGCCGAGGAGCGACCGCAATTAGAAAATTTAGTTTAATTTTTTATTTAAATTAATTTTCTAGATCATTTAGATGTTAGTCGCACGGGAATTTCAACCCAAGCCTTCCGAATGGCAATATGCAATGCTAACCACTCGGCTACCGCGGCCGACTTTTTCCATTTCATATGCAAATATATAATATTTTTCATCGGTTCATATTTTTTTTCTATAGTTTCGACCAGAGCTTAACGTCAAACGCAGCTCATTATAAGCGTTAATACCCTTAGTCAAGATAACTCAATTTGAACTCATCAATGAGAAAAAGATTTTCCGTAAGTAAATTCTTATACCCACAGGGGTTTTCATTTGGTCTTGATTGATTCTTTCTAAACACAAATTGCCCCAATAGAACAGAAGTATTTCCAATTCCTCTGCTTCCACCAGCGTTTACTCTATCGAATACTTTCAAAACTGGAGAGCTTTTATCCATGCGGACGTAGCCGCAGGATACAATTTGCTGAATTATGTCATGTCATCGTATAAGGCGCACAGCTCATCGAACCAACGGCTGTAGTATTAGCGGTTTGAAATGAATACATTATATATGTGTTTGTGCTAAAACAAAAATAGAAAGTTTATAACCCGCGAATATAATCTCCAACGCGATTAATGAGCTCAAAAATCCAATCAAAATTCAAGGGTGGATGCGAATCTTAAGAATCTGTTCAGTTAGCAAATGTTTAGCCTTGATGGATTCAAATAGGTTGGACATTTCCTTGTCAAGGTTTTGAGAAACTAAGTTTGATGAACAGTTTATTCGAAACATAACCCTCAACATCAAATCAGAGAACTACAAAAGTTTGTTTGCTATTTCTTTGCATAATTTCAGGCGCTGTTTTTTTTTTAGTATTATTTAATTCGTTTATGATTCTCAAACGACTTAAGAAATTAATATTTTTTTGTACTCTATAAGTTCAACAAATCATGAAAATTGCTAATAAAGCCAAATCATAATTAAAATTCTTCACAATTTACTTCTATCCACTATCCTTCGGCTTTTCCAATATAAAGTTATCAACCATTTATTTTACCATTTATTCATCTTTCAATATTGCTATAAATCTGCTCTGCCATAAACCTTTAAAATTTAATTGTCCAAACATAAAAAATAATTAAAAGTGCAGCTATTTAACTCCATAACTCAATTAAGAGCACACCACTACCTCAACAATCAGCTCTCCTTTCCTTTGTGCCAAACATACTAGATTGACAGAGGCGCCTGCCGTCACTTAACTTTATTATTATTTAAGTACTTACGCTTTCATCAATAAAAAAAAATAAAATAATAATAACAAAACACATACAAAAAACAATTGATGAAAATTGCCGAACAAAGCCTGAAAGTGAAAGCAACGACAACAACAACGGCGGCGGCAGCAGGCACCCACTTTACTTTAAGATGTCCTTGCCAACATTTTTTTTATGATGCGATGTTGTCGGAATTCTTTTCTACATTTTTTTATTGTTTGCTTTACTCTTTATTATACACTCTTTTTTGTGTCGTTTATTTAAATTGTTTTCCTTTCTTTATATTTTCGTGCATAAAACTCGGTTGGAGTGGTGGGGGAGGAAGGTGGAAACATAAAAGGATTTTTTTCTTATTGCATAAACGATTAAAGTGCGTTCACCAAATAGAGGAAAGACCGGCCGTTCTCCGGAGCTTCATGAAAAAAAGTAAATTCAAGTGGTGGCTGCAAGGAGAAAAAATAAGCAAAATATTTTTTCCCCATATTTTTTTTAAGAAAGGATGAATTAGTACTTGAGTTCACAGCATAAAATAACACGAAAGAAAAACAAAATGTTGAAAGGAATTATTGAAAGAGTAAGGAGAGGAGAACCTGGCGTTGGAAGTGAGGTCCCTGGTGTTAATGATGACAACCAGCCGATGCAGCAGACAGAGCTTTTGAAAATACACATACTTGAGATAGGTATGTGCTTGCACTTGTGCAATACATACTTATGTATATGTACATATAAGCATATATGCTTAAATACTACATATCCGTTTATGCAGGTGCATGCAAAATAATTTGAGCGCGAAGCCGCCTGGAAGAGGTGTTTTTGTGTTTGAGTGGAGGGCGTGAAGGTGGCAGACATTCACTTAGAAAACATGAATTCATTTAATGACGGAAATGCAATTCTGTAAATGTACATCTCTACCCGTTATGTGACCGTCTCTCACCCACGAACTGCATATCCACATACGAGTATCTTCATATATGTATGTACACATACATAGCTGCGTTGGTTGACCGTCTGCAACAACACCACCTTTTTCCAATCACCATCAACATCATGATGCTGCAATTGCAAGCTGCTGCTCTTGTTGGCGTTGTTGCGCTATGGAAGAGAAATGGCTACTACTTATTCACACAAGCATAAATATTCATATGCAATAAGCACACTCTAGACAACGTAGGGTTTTATATAGCCTAAAGGACGAATGATAGGTGTCGGGTTCGACTTTGTTTGACACAACAGGCTCCGATGCTTGCTTATATGTATATCTTCGCATATGTAGTTATGTGTGTATGTATTTGATTGCATGTCAGATCAAATAAATGTGTGGTTAGGTTGTAGGTCACATGTGCGGGTGGATTGACGCAAACTAAAAAAGAAAAGCAGGAATATATACCTTTATTAAATTTTTTTTAAATATTTGTTAGTTTTATTTTTAAATTCAATTTCATTTTGTTTTTTTTTATTATTTTATTTTATTTTTTTATTATTTCATTATTTTAGTTTTTTTTTATTATTTCATTATTTTATTTTTTCATTTTTTTATTTATATTTTTTTTTTTATTATTTAATTTTTTCATTATATTAATTTTTTGTTGTTTTTTATTATTTTAATTTTTTTTTGCTTTATTTTTTTTTTTTTAATTTATTTTTTTTATTTCAAATTTTTTTATTTTTATTTTTTATTATTTATATATTGCAATGACAAACTCTATTTATGTATATTTTTTATTTCAAAAATTTTTTGGAAGACATTTAAGAGTCTGAATATGCTGTACGCTCGCACGATGTTTCAGATGTGAAAAATTTTTCTTTCTTCTTCATATATTTTAAATTAGTATATGATAAATTATAATAAAAGACGTAGAAACCTAATAAAAGAGAGTCGATTTCAAATCATTTTGTTTTATGAGAGTATAAGATATCATCTTTCGTCTTTATTTTACGAAAACTTTAATAAAAAAAAAATTCAATAATTTTAAAATTTATTATGCCTCGCTTTAAAAGTGGTGCCACATTCAAACTCAATCTAGCACTAAATCGAAGTTTTTATTTTTGAATTGACAAATTAGTTATAAAAAAATCAAAATTAAAATAAAAAATAAAATCAAACAATCAGATGCGTTCTAAAAGCTTTTATTGAAATATTAAGTGTATGATGAATGCGACAGAATACTCGAGATCTCTCACATTTACCACGGTATAACAATCGATAGCATGCAAATCTTTCAATATTCTGGTGTTAAGTTATGTGTCCTTCTGAAGCATTTGCAACAACGCAAATAGTATTTAACTAGTTGTGGGCTATGCAAATCTGCAGATTTTAGACAATTTTGTAAAATTTTGTGCTGCGCGATCTTGAAATCTCGTCATCAATATTTTCAGAACATCATAGCTTTCCTTAAGCTATAGATGAATAATAAAATAATTAATATAAATTAAAAATGGTAAAAAAAAAAATTAAGTGTAATTGGTCTTCTTACTTTCTTGCGATGTGCTCTCTGATTCTCATATTATTCTCGCCGAATCTTTCGCTTCTAGTATGTTATTATATGATTGAAGCATTTCACTAATCCCAACTGAAATACATACCATAAATATCAGTATGTGTAATGCATAAAAACTGCAATTTCGCTCTCATCCATGAGTGCTTCGAAATAACACCAATCATTTTCAGTTTTGAAGTTTTTCCATCTTCATTGATTAATTTCTGTGTCACATTGCCTTGCGGGTCTATAAAACAAACAAACCGACACACATGTACGCACACACAGAGAAGCAAATATAATGTGTATTTCAGTTGAGTGTGTGTGTGTGGTTATATACATTTTCTATATATTTTAAAGGAGGGTGGCTGAATGCTGCCGTCATCGCAATCTGTCTGTCCTCTACTTGTACAAAAATCAATGCCAGAAGATTTTTTGTTTTTGTTTTTAGTTTTTTATACGCCCATTCCATTCATTCTTTCTTTCACCACATTTATAATATTTCTCTTAGTTTTAACTTTCTCGCTCTTTCTCTCTCTCTCTCTTTTTTCCCGGATTATTATTTTACAATTCTGCGCAATGCCAGCTTTTGCTGGGTGACTCGCTATTCTGACATTCTCTTCTCGCCACAGAGAACAGCAAGAGGATATTTGCAAGTCCAATGTCTAGAGAAGTAACTGGTCATGCCCTTGTTCCGTCCCCCGTGTTTACATTATATATTCTATGTTATATATATGAGTATATATCCGGATATTTTGCTAGCTGGATTCAAGCATATATCTACTGTAAGGAGTCATTGCGGCGTTTCAGATCGAACGTATTCCTTTGAAGTTAATCAGCTTAACCCTTGAAGTTTCGATGGTTTATTACACAAAAATAAATTAAGTTTTCGAGTAGGCCTCTGTCAGGAATATAGTATTTTCAACTTGATCAGTGAAGAATTTTCAATGCGGACAATAGAAAAAGCATTCGTAGCATTTATTCATATAAAATCTAATATATATGTATATACTTTTTAATTGAATCGGTTTGCGGAGAAACAAAAAATGTTATTACCCTCCATTTCGGATATTTTCATAAAAATATAAGGCACTTTTTTTACAACCAATGTAACATAAACAAGTTTAAACAGAAATGTACATAAACCTTGCCTAATTTTAGGCGCGCACTATTACCAAATTAATAGAGAAATATTTTTTTAAAAAAATAACCCGATTTTAGGCAAAATACATTTGTATTGAACCCATTCACAGCAAATGTCAAAAACGAGTTCCTAAACGTTGCCTACTTTTACGCGCCTATATTTAGGAAAACAAAATTTTGTAAACTCATACAATGAAAATGCGAAATGTTCAAAAACATTGCCAACTTTTAAGCGCTTTAATGGAGAAATTTATAACTTCAATCACTCAATTTATTATTTGGGAGAACGAAGAACTAAACGTTGCCTATAAATTGGTTAATCACATTTTTTGAAACCCCTTATAACAGAAAAATCGGAAAATGTAAAAAAAAAAACGTTGCATAACTTTAGATGTAAAAACAGAGATATATTTTTATTCAAAACTATTTTCTGAAAAAACTTGCTTATTAAAATCCTGAAAACGGGCTAAAATGTTGAAAAAAAATGCTGCCTATCCTTAGGCGCATCAACAGATCATTCATCATTCTTCTATCATTGACAACTATTTTTGAGAAAACTAGGAAGTAAACGTTGCTTGTATTTATAAGAAACACATCTTTTCAAACTCTTGTAACGGAGAAATGCATACGTTAAAAACGTTGAAATTACTAGGGCGCCTTTATAAATAAATTCTAATCAAGAGGGGACACGTTTGTCGAAACTTTTCACCCATATCTCAGCATAATAAGAAAATTTTCCGAAAACACTCGTTTATAATACAACTTTTGCCAGATGTAACACTTTGAAAGGATTCTTCGTAATCCTAGAACTTATTAAATGCTACTTTAATATTTATAACAATAATGGCAGACAGTCTCTTATTTCAAAAAGCATTTTTTTTTAAACATTTGAAGGTTAATTTTGCAAGAAAAAATTGTATAGAAGAAGAATGCGTGCAAACCAAACACAAGTACCCAAATCTATTTGTGTGTCAATTTCCTTTTTCACTTCAGCACTTTGCTTTCTATAGTTCGCTCAACTTCAGATGTCTAGAAGGTGAATGTTGGATGGTTTGAGTTTGACTGTAGGGTGAGTGGATTGCTTAAGTGTACTATATATATGTAAATATATGTATATATATGTAGATATATATATGTACATACACATATATATGTTATGTATCTGAATATATTACTGTATGCCTTTGTATGTATGTGTATTCAGGAGTCGCTCTGTTGAGTGCTGTCAGCTGGGACTGCTGTTTCTGCTGCTGCTGTGGTGGTAGTCGATGGTATGGTTAGGTAGGGTTTTGGCTGGCTGACTCCGGCTCTTTTGGTTTGCCTTTGCACCATCCATCGTTTGTGTGTATGTGGTTTATTTTATTGGCGTCGAGACGAAAGAGGAAATTTAATGGCAAATATTGTAATATGAAGCATACAGCTTTTGGCTTTAAAACAGACAAAAAGCGCTTTTATGGCAAATAACGAAATTAAAGCGAATTTTGTATTTATTGAATGAATCCTACGAATAATTTTTTCTGCATGATTTTACTTATAGAAAATATTCTAAAATTTTTGTTTAAATTAAAATGAAGCATATTAGAAAAAAAGAAATTAGAAAATAAAATTAATAGATTAATCTAAGGTTTATATTAGTGAAAATAGATATTGGTTCAATTATATTCTCCTCAAAGCAGGCTTGTTAATAAAGCAAACAAATTATTATAAATACCTTTAAGGCCGCAAAATATCTTAAGAGTCGTATACGAGTACATACCATACATATGTAGCGTTCTCCGCACAATTAATCTTTACAAAACTACTTCTTTGCTGACCATTAGTATAAACTACCTTATCCTCGCCACATAACCCAACTTAAATATATAGAAAACGACCAGTAAGCATAAGGCCATAAGGCAAGGCTTAAGGGTTGGGGAAACTATGAAGGCAATTTATCCTTTTTAATGCATTTTCCTTTAAAAGGCTGTTGAATAGAAAGCAACGAACGTAACGAAGAACGTGCGCTGATTGCTAAAGCTATAAGATTTAAGTTTGACCCGACCGACCTTTTAATGATGGACAGTACATGAGACATGGGGCAAATGGTTTGGGGGACATATGACACAACGAATGGCGTTTGAAGAAGTAAAGTTTACCAAGCAAATTAAAACTTGAATGCTGTTATATTGTTTGCAATAAAGGAAAAGAGTTGATTGGGAGGAAGAGGAGAGAATTTATGTATGTATGCATGTACATATATTTATGAAATTAAGAAATTTCCGTTTAATGTTTAATGTAGAATATCACGAATATAAAGGCGATTGGTAAAAGAAATAAAAATAAAAAAGGTATTGTTACAAAAAGTTATTTGCAACTTTTAAAAAATACACAATCATCAACCGCATATATAATATTTTAAACAAAAGTTCAATATATTTAAATTGTCCTATCTATTGAAAATTAAAAAAATGTGCGAAATTAAATATGTTATTATTTATCGGACGTGTACAAGAATTGACTGCAGTCTGAGATCTTCACATTTATTCATATTAATTTTCATTTATTTTTTTTTTTATTCTTTCAGACAATGGTGGACAAAGAGAAGAAGCGCTTCCATGAGATGGCCGAAAAAGATAAGGCGCGATATGAAATGGAAATGCAAAATTACGTACCACCCAAGGGCACTGTAGTTGGTCGTGGCAAGAAGAGGAAAATGATTAAGGATCCGAACGCGCCGAAAAGATCATTGTGAGTTCGTAGCTAACAATGCATTCATTAAACTTTAGTCAAATTTCTCAATTCTACCCATTGGAATATGAAATCTAATATGACGCTTTGCTCTTTTGTACACATTTTTAGGTCTGCATTCTTTTGGTTTTGCAATGATGAACGTAATAAGGTTAAAGCAGCGAACCCTGAATATGGTGTAGGCGATATAGCCAAGGAGCTCGGCCGCAAATGGTCCGATGTGGACCCAGAGGTTAAGCAAAAGTATGAGCTTATGGCTGAGAAGGATAAAGCGCGCTATGAGCGGGTAAGTGAAATATCCAGTTTTAATTCAGTGTTTGTTTTTTGGTTTGTTGGACATGTTTTTTTTTTGTTTGTAATAAAATATTTTTACTTTTAATTATAGGAAATGACCGAGTACAAAACAAGCGGGAAAATACCAATGTCCGCGCCTTCAATGCAAGCACAACAGGCTGCAGCGCAGAAAGCCGCGTTACTCGCCGCCAGTTCGCAGCAGCATGAGGAGCATGGCGATGATGACGGCGACGGTGATGATGACGAAAATCAATAGATTTAAGCAATTTACAAAAATTACAAAAAAAAAAAAATGAGAAGAGAGGAAAGAAAAGAAAAAATAAAAAATTAAACAAAAAAAAAAATGAAATAACAAATTTTCCACTCAGCAAGATAATGGAACTTATATTACGTAAAATATAAGAAAAACATATATATATAATAAATTTGAATGAGTTATAAGTACCAAGCAGAAAGAAACAAATAATAAAAAACATAAAACAATGAAACAGACGAGAATTAAACAAGAAATTATGAAATTGACAGGGAGTAAAACATACAACAACAACTCTATGTAAAAAAAGAAAAACGAATAAACATATACGTAGTGTAAATGTGTGCTGGAAACGCTAAATCTAAAGCTAAAAGTAAATGTAGGTAAAGGAAATCACTATCAAGGAAATAAATACAAGTTATTGTGCTGAAGAAAAGCAAGAACAATATTTTAAAACAACACTACTTTTAAAAATCATTACGGCATATACAACTATCAAGTACGTACTATCCATCATGCATTCATTGGTTATAATTTTCATAAAATTAACGAATAATCACCAACTACACACCACGTAAATTTGTTACAAATTATAAACACCAAATCAATCTACTCCCTAAAACTAATTTACCATGTGATGCTCATTTTGAGTAGTGAAATACATACACATACACACACACACATAAAACAGTTGAAATTACAGCAATGTGAATGAATTAAAAGAAGAGAAGAAAACAGTAAGAACAATTAGTTTCAAATGCAAAAACCATCTAATAGCAACTACAAACGAAAATAGAGTTGATTGAAAAAGGCATCTTTGAATAATAATAATTGCAAACAACTCAGATACGTTTACATTTTTATTATAATACATTAATTTGTTCGCTTAATTTCTACCATTAGCAATAAATATTAGGATTAAAGAGAGACACTCATAGTTTAGGGGCAATTAAGAAGTAAATGAAGAGAAAGTGTAACCGAAAAAGCCAATATGAAAGTGGCGTTGTGTGTTTGACTTTAAATACAAATTCACAAGAATTTATTATTACTCTATTGTCGTTTCGATTATTGGCAGTTATTTTTATTTTTATTATTCTTAAATATTTCCAAAACTGGCATATAATGTTAATATGAAACAAAATTTGAATATTATTGATTTTTTTCCTTTAGTTTGTAGAAAAAAGTAATACGTACTTTATTTACCATTTCAAAATCATACAAAACAACAACAGTATAAAAAGGAATGTTTTAAGTCAGAATATAAGGACAACTTAAAAGCAAAAAAAAAAAATAAAATAAAAAAATAAAGAAAAATATTGAAATATTTTTATAAATACAAGAAAGTGTGCGTTTGAGCTAAATATGTACGAGTATCTCGAATGTGAATTTTTAGAGGCAATTATTGCATACATAAATATACATACATACTGTGAATAACTGCTAGCCACAATATTAATATATGCATAGGCAACACTTATGTATAAGCAAAATAATTGTATACCACATGCATACAACAACTACAACAACAACAGTAAAACAATAACGACAAGATTACAAACAATATAATAAATTTATATAATGTACGATAAGATCTAGAATATACAAGTGGTGAAAAACCAAAAAAAAATATGTACGCAATTTTTTTCATAATTCATTCTTTGACAATCGATTGGATAGAGTCGAAAAATTTTGTGTGTTTTGGGTAAGGACAACATGGGTCGGTTTTGTTTCAAGCTTCACAAAATAAAAATATTGATTTTTTCTCTTCACCTTTTTTTGTCTCTGGGAAAAAATTCTTATAATAGTTAAATCACTGTAGAAGTAAAAATAAATCATCTGTGGGTAAGTTTTTTTTTTAGAATTTAGAAACTGTGAATACGGCTTACAATTTTTTGTTTTCGAAAACTCTACAAAAATGTTCATAGCACTTAAAGTTATGAAACAATTTGTAAATATATATAGTTATATTTAAATTTAAAGTGTTGACTTGAGGCGGCATGTGGTTGTGATATTTTGGCGAAAGTTAAAAAAATGAATTTTTTGAAAGTTAAAAATATAATTTTCATAAGATTACATTTTTACATATATATTTAATTATTTTTTTTTTTAATTTTTTTTTTATGTTTCGTATTGTCTTGTACTCCAGCTTTAAAAATTATAGCCATAAATTAAGAAAAAATTAAAACAACTTTTCGAACATTTTTCGTCAAGTTGTTTTTATATAAATATTTCAATCTATGGTTATTTTTGTTTAATTTGAAATAGAAAAAAAAAAACACTGGAGGTACATTTGTGTATAATATTATTATATACTGTGTATAATTTTTTTCACAAAATTTAATTATTATTGGTTTTAACATAAAACTTTGAGAAAAGTTAATAAATGAAACTTAAGGTAAATGCATACAAATTTTCATTGCAATACATAATCCAATTCAGTCCGCTATGTAAGTGAACGTAAACAATAACTATTGGTTATATAAAACTGACTACTTTGTTGTTTTAGTTGTCGTTGACAATGTAAATTAAAATTCAGAAGAAAATACTAAACCTTTTTTTTTGTAGGCCACCTGCAAAATATTTTACTACAAAAAAGTATAAATTTAAAGAATTTTCAGTACTCAATTTTACTTCGCGGGTTTCTATATTATATAATATATCGTAATATTTTTGGACACTTGGCAACCATATAGTTAACATTGTTTATGACGACTAGAACAAGGAGAACTGATTGGTTTTTACTAAAGCAGTTTTTAATAGAATATTTACATAAAATGAGTTCATTCTGAGGGTTTTTTCTTCATTGATGTGAATTTAACTTCAATTCCACTTAATCGCTAAAAAATATCACTACTTTCAGTTTGAGATGGTTAGATGGCAATGCATATATTTATTGAATGCATTACTCGTATGCAATACATTTTGTATATATGTATGTATGTAATTAATACATTATTATATTATGTATGCATTTTTACATTCGAAAACTCATATAGAACATTAACTACAATAAATAATAAGAAATAATAATAACATTAAAAAACATATAAAAATGAATATGAAATGCAAACTACTTCAGGCTCGAAAGATTCCTATTAAAATTAGCAATTAAAAATAAAAAGAAGTAAATGAAATAAGAAAAGAAAGAAAAGAAAGTGGTAAAATTTTGCAGTAGGAAATAAACGTGCATATACATACATACATACACTCACGAAAATTTACTACGTAATGTTAAATAATATTAATACCTAAAAAAAATGATGTAAAATAGTTTGCACAAAAAGCTTGAAAAAAAAAATAAGGAGACAGAGTGTAATGAAATGACAATTGTGGGAAGATTGATTACTTTTTGTGGGTATTTGCTTATACACTAATACATGTTTCACAACTTTCACAGCTAAGTGGCAGACTAATGTCGCAACTATCTATTAGTTTTTTTTTTTTATATTTTGTCGTACATTATATTTATGAATTTTCTTCTCTCTTCTAATTATAAATACAAATATGCAATAAGAATTAATTTTTTTTTGAAGATTTAAACTTGTAGCTTTTTTACTTTTCAATTTTTTGACTCATAAAATGTGTGTATGTAAATCTTTAGATGCCTCTAAATTTTTTGCGCTCTCTATTAATCTTCGCCAAAAAATGTATACCAAAATTTCACAGCAATAGAAAGCAATAACTTATAATTACATTTCTACAGAAGTAGATTGAGATAGAGTGTACAGTTTGAAATTAGACACGAAAAAACAAGTAAATAAAAAGACAGACTGAAATCGGATGGAAGTGTATGATAATACAAAAAGTGAGCGAGCGTGTCATTCCTGGCAAGTTTTATTCGACATTAATGCCTCACTATGTATCTGCATACAACCATACATATTTGACTAACACCAACAAAGAAAACAGTTTATATAATTAAATAAAAAAAAAAAATGAAATGCATAAATGCGACAAACACATTATACACAAAAATCCAAAAAGAAAAAGAAACACCTAAATTTTTTTTAGCTTCACGAAAAGAAAAATCATGTATATTCGTAGCTTTTCGTTTTTCTTCCAGACAAAGAGCAGTGCATTTTTTTGAGCACAACTTGTAAAAGAAAATTAATGCTCTTATAATAAGTTCAAATTTAAACAAAGAATAATAATAATAATAATCTGTTAATTAATAGTGCGTAAGAGTGCTTAGTTTAAAAAAAAAAAGTGAAATTACAAAATTTTGAAGTTTTTAATTTTATGATATTTTTATCATTGTATTCTAATTGCTTTTTATTTTTTATTACTACATTTAAGTGAATAAGCGCGCGCACAAGAAATATTAAAAATGCGGCGTGGAAAACAAATTTTGAAATTACGTATTATTGCATAAAATATGGAAATAAATATTTTTAAATACAAAAAAAAAATGATAATAATTAATTGTTCGTTAATTTCGCATATGTATTTACCAGTTTATATATGATAAATTAGAATTAAAATTTATTATTGGAAGTGCATACTTATATTATTATGCATGTATTTAATTTCGTAGTAAGTTGAATTAGTTTATTTCGTTATGCGCAGGTTTTTTTGTCTTTAATTATCTACTTCAAAATTAAAAAAAAAAAAGAAACAATAAAATTATGAAAAAAAATACAGAATGAAATTATTAATTATTAATTGACTAATTTAATTACATATATGTAAAATACAAAGTTGATAAAATAAAATTCATAAAAAAAGGAGTAATTATTGTAAGATGTTAATTGAATTGAAATCCACTCCCCTTCCCTTGCATACACAAAACAATTCATTTACATATATTTACATACCCAACATACGATTAAACTCCACGCGTTCATCTAAATATCTACAAGTGGGAGAAAAAAAATATTAATGGCGTATAAACACGCTTTAACACAAGTATTTACTTTAAAAAGTAATTTATATACATACATAGAAATAAAAGAAAAACACAAAAATAAATAACATAAAGCATTTTATGAAGTGAAATGAAAACGAAAATAAAAGTTAATAATGTAAAACTAAGCTTAAACTACTTATAAAAAAAAAAATAGAAATTAATAAAGCAAACAAATTCAGAACGCTTAAGACATAACACAAGCGGTCGGATGTTGATAACAAAACGGCAGCAATGTTTATTGTCCCTTTGTAAGCTAAAGATACGATATATATATATATATATACATAAATATATACGTATATACATACCTACCATACACATAGTAACACTTAGACACAAAAACAAACAAACAAACAAACAATTTAGGCATATGTGTAAACAATTAGTTTAATTCTTACACTGTAATATGTAATAAAAATGAGAGTAATTGCGTAATAATTATAAATTACAATAATAATGATAATAATACAAATGACAAAATAAAAATAATAAAAACAACAAATTTTGTTTTTTGCATTTCAATTTATTTAGTAAAAAAAAGTCTGTATATTACGATTTTATCATCACCAAGGTGAGTTTTATACCATGAAGCTTCGTTGTCTGAGGTCAGGTTATGAATAATGAGAGCATTGTCAAAGAACGTATATTACGTATATACGTTCTTGGCAGAACATTACAAATTTATCGCTAACCAGTAGTTCGGATCCAAATTTATATCTGAAAATTTGACGACATATTTAACTCAAGTACTGCACGTCATTAAAGAAGAAGAAAAAGTAAAACTTTAATACTTGTATTCAGCCTTAATAAATGGTCTGTATATTGCCATAAATTAAAATTATATCATTAAGGTTTTTATATTCTTCAACAAAAATTTTATTTGGCACTGCTAACCGACTATAAGACAACCGAAGTTGACTAGAATTTTTCCTAGCCTATCGACTTTTAGCGATCGTCTACTGAATCAGCTGATTTTTCGATCAGAAATGATTTCATTTTGATTTTGACATTTGCCCATTTATTTACTTAATTGTTGTGATTTTGTTTTGAGCGAATATTTATTGTGCAATTGCTGTTTATGGTATAATTTGCCATAAATAAATAAACAATGCTTAGTCTAAAATACACACCCATATGTTGTGCTGCGTTTAATAAACGAATGTAATATCGCAAAAAATTTAAAAATGAACTGAAACGAACTGCGCAGGCGTTTCCCTATTGAAATGGTTTAAATAAAAGCTGCAATATTTTTAAAAAATTAGGTAGTTCCAAATTTATACTAGGAATTATGGCGACCAAGGAGAGTATTACTGCCATTTTAGAATGGATAAAAATCACACACTTTGGCAGTATGAATAAAAGCAATCTACCACAGTGCATGGAAACGGAGACGGATGGGATATCTACTGATGAAATTGATCTAGAATCACACCCATGGAAGGAAAAAACGGTATCCTGGTGGGATGTAGGCATGACAGTGATTTCTATATTAATACGAGTAATTGCTGTACTGCTGAATATTAAATTAGCTGTCGACTATTATCAGCAAAGAGAGCAAAATTACTGTGCATGGACGGTAGCTTGCTTGTTTGTACCGATGTGTGTCACTTCATTGATATATGCAAAAATGTAAGTTTAATAATACATACTTTTATTGCTAGTGTATATTATTATATATTGTTAAAAGGGTTATAAAAAAGAGGTGAAAGAAAAATTGATAATCAATTAAAGTTGGTTTATAAATACTACAAAAAAAAAGTCTTATCCGACAGGCCAAATGTAAAAAGTTGATATTTTCTATACGAATTCAAAACAATGCAAATTATCAAAATTTTGCCTTATCAGATATTAAGTAATATGTATTTGTAAAAGATCAAATGGAAAAAAAAACGTTCATTAAGTTACAATAAATCAAATCTATTTTATAGGAGTTTCTTACTTTCATTATTTTTTAAATCAATTTTATAAAAACATTTTCAGGTGCCATCAAGATAAAAAATTTGACGGAGGAATTAGTAAGGCGTCGAGAACTGCTCTGTTAGTTATATTTTCATCACTTTTTCTTCGGTAAGAAAATTACGGTATAACATGAAAATTAATTGTTTTTTATATTATATGTATATGGATTTGCCAGATACTGGAACTCCTTAATATACTCCCTCAAATGTAAGCGTTCTGAATTGCGAGGAAATCGAGACGAACAATTAAAGTAAGTAAATTATTAAATACAATCATTATGAAGTATATTTCAGAAAACGTGCCTACATTACTTTAGGTATTATAAATTGACTATAAAAGAAGAAAGCGATATTTCGTTGATACGTTTATTCGAATGTTTTATGGAAACGGCTCCACAAAAAATACTGCAATTATCAATACTATTAATGCAAAAAAATCTAGTAACAGGTAAGACTCTAGATATTAGAAATTTGATTAGGCGGATATGAAAAATTGCAACATTTCGGATGCAATAGATTTGTATGTGTGTTATTATCGCAATTGGTTTTATTTATTTTTAATAGATTGGACTACAATCAGCTTACTAAGAAAAAATTGCACTTATAAGTACTTCTGTATAACAGAACAAGCAAAAAAACATGTTTTTATTTAAATATAATTGCTTCTTTAGGTACGCAGGTTTTAAGCGTTTCACTTTATCTGGTGAGCGTACCATGGACGTTATTCAGCTATAATCGCTGTATACGTGCTGCACAACCAAATAAAAATAAGTTGAGTTATTGGTATATGGCTCCTCAAATCTGTTGGCATTTTTGTGTTTCACGTTAGTAATACCATTTTTTTTCTATGCATTTTCATTTTATTTTTTAAATTTTTTTATTTCAGTTTCGCGTACCCTTTGCATAACATTTGTAGTCCTCATATTTCCTATCTGGATAATAGTTGCTTGTGTTCAGCACGCAGTCGTATTGGGCTTCCTTACCTATATAGTGGAACGACCTCAATTTTCCAGCGTCATTGCTTGTCACAATTTTCTCTTCTGTATAGCTTTAGGTTTTGTTTACATATTCATTTACATTCCAGTCAAGGAGGAGCCAACACGCTATAAATACGCTTTATATTACCTGATTTGTTCGTTGGAAAATTTCACCTGCGTTGGATTGTTCATCTTTTATGCGCCGGGATATTTACGACAATCGGTTGGCTTTTTCTCTACATTATGTACCTTAGCTATTGTCTTTTACTATGTCGGTATTTGTTGTATGTGCATTTATTATACACGTTATCATCCGAATGTGAAGGCAGGGAGAAATATGAAAATTAATAGTTGAAATAGGTAAATACATATACATATATTCATAGGTTGTAGAATATACCGAAATTTCTAAAGTATTAACATACATTCGCATAAGCATGTCCTTAGAGCATACCGTAAACTTTTTATCCCAAATTTGTAATGGGATAGATGTTAGAATTTTAGAAATGATATAAAAATGTTTAGATAAACGATTATTTACATATATTAAAATAATTTTTTGCTATCTCCAAAATGTATGTATGTACATTCAAGCGCCGAACCAACATACATATATGCTAAGTATAAAATTATACATATAATAGAATAACTAAATATAAAAAATAAATATTGTATTAAATGATAATTATTTTTAACTAAACTCGCGGTTATATTACTGTCATTCCAATAAATACATTTTTAAAAAAGTTTTGAGTACAATCATAAATGTTATTAGTATAGATTAAGCCCATATTTCATTTTAGACCAAAAGAAATGCATTCCTTGAGATTCCTAGCATGAATGCATTCCACTTTGTTACCAAAACGTTCTTTTATAAAGTCAACAATTTCCAACAAAAACTCTTTATTAAATTTCAAAGAACCGTTATTACGATTTCTTTTTTAAATTATCAAATCGTTACTAATCCGAAAAATTAGTAGAAATTACCACTTATTTTCTTTTTATTTTTTCACATGTATTTCTGATATACATATATTCATGTATTTAACGACTTCATAAACATACAAGTATTTTAATATATCTTATAATGTATATAATATTGCAATTATAACGCTTCATTATGTTTTCACCATAATTTATGTATTTTTGTGATCTTATTCAATACCATTTCAAATAGTTAACAATTCAGTTGTGATCTCATAAATAGTAAAAATATTGCAATTTATTGCAAAGACACAAAGCAGTCGTTTTTACAAGCATTTATATATATTATAGTCGATAAAATTTAATCGCTAGAGTTATCACTGATCTTCACCACCAGCGGTCTTGTCAACTCCTGGCTCCACGGTTTGCTGTTGTTCCTTTTGATTAGGACTAACAGTCTGTTGTTGTTGTTGCTGCTGCTCTAATTTACGTTTCTTCTTTGCCTGTATATCGGCTAATGTTTGTTCAATAGATCGCATATCCTTCTTATTTTTACTTGGGACAAAACCATAACTTTGATTTGTTTCAGTTTTTCGCGCAGCCTCTAAGGCAGCTTCTTGCCCGATGAGATGTGCATATTTATCTTTATAATTGCTCGTTGGCTTAATGTCAGACTCAATGGTAGGTGGTGGCGGTTGAGTGGAAGCACGTGCCAGTCTTTTTTGTTCACTTTCCAGCTCTCGTTGTTGCTTTCTCCGCTCGGCATATTCTTTGGCAATCTCCTCATTCCATCCATCGCCATTGCGACGTGCAGCTATTTCATCTTCTGTCGGAGCATTTTCCTTTTTATAAACAACGGAGTGACGATCAATGTCTTCGCGACCAAAACTCATTGCAATAAAACCACCAAATTCAGCTACCTCATGTATTATGGCACGATGCACCTTGTCCAGCGGTTGAAATTCAATATGTGGACGATCATCCTTAGCAAATCGTCCGATACGCTCTTCTACATATTTACGAAATCGATTTAATTCTTCTTTTTGTTTGTTTTTTATGCGCTCTGCGAGTTCTTTTTGTTTTTTGATCATTTTTTTCTGTTGCTCTGTAGCTGCAGGAGGTTTTTCCATTGAATTGAGTATTGAATTTAGCAAATCCATGGCGGGTTTCGTTGGCTCTGTCACTTTATTAAACACTTTTTGAATTGTTTTGCGCAATAATATACGCAATTTCAATTATTATATGTTATATCAATAAATTTTTTACGTATTTTATCCAATTTTTGTTTTTTCTATTGTCCAACTTTGCCCAGCTGCTGCTTCGGATTTTTCACTTTACTTGTTTTTTTCTATTCTTTCTATTAAATGTGTGTGGTTCTGACAGCTGTTCAATAGTGATGGCCTTGCAAATTATTTAATCGATTGAAAACTCTGCTCTAATCTCTAGAAACCCAATAACGGACATTTATTCAAACATTTAGAAATCAGCAATTTATAATGCATGATACAAAAAATGGTATCATGGTAGTTTGTATGAAAGTTTAATAAAAAAAAACTTGTCTAGATCATTTCACAATTCCCGCAATAACTATAGCACAATTATCCAAAGTATTTTAAATCAAATGCAGTCAAGATTTTACACATTTTTTCAGGTAAGGCATAAGCTGCTATTTTTTTTTTAAGTAAGATTAAAACCGGAATACCAGTGAAGCTTCCGAAGCTTGAATTAGTTGTGTATGTAAACCTGTTAGCCTACTCCTTGTAAAAAGATCTACGATTTAAAAACAACAAATTTTGTCGAAAGACCTCTATTAATAAATATTGAATCCGTTTACATTTAATTATTATATTAACAGAAATACATATTATTCAAAAACAATAAAACAACCGAAAGATATTTAGATCCATTAACCCGGATTTATGAATTTATTTTATTAAACAAATTATTATGACACAATAAAAATGATTAAAGATATACCATCTGTTGATTTGATAGTTGCTAAAATATTATTATTATAAATTAAAATGGAAACTTTGCAAACTTTTTATTAATCCAATGATTAAGAGAATATTTTAAGAACAAAATTTAGTAGTGTCGGAGGTATAGAATATACCACTAATTATATTCCAGCACAGTTGCACTAGTGGCCAGCATTTAATACTGCTATATTTCCTCTTGTGTAGATTTATTTTATTTTGGTTTAAGAAAAATTATCGGAGTTAGCCGCACTCGGTGTATATCAATATGTATGGAATTTAAAATAAAAATAGTTTACTGTTTTCTCATAAGCGTTAGTTCTTTAGCTTTTTCCATATATCGACGTGGACGTATGTATTCCAAAAATAGTAATATAACATGAGCCATAGATATGATCAAAAGGAATGGCCAGACCTTACTGCGCAAATATCCGTAGAGTAGGTCACCAAGTGATTTCTCAGGTTCAGCCAAAACGCGCGTATATACTTTTTCCGTTCGTTGTGTTACATTCTCCCAGTTGTACAATGTCGACACGATTTCGTTGCATTTATATGGGCAAAGTACAGCTTCCACATTATCTATATTGGCAAGATATCCATTATTTTTCGTCTCCCTTCTCATATGCAGATCGAAAGACTTTTTTCGCTTTTTTGAATTGGAAATAGTAGTAAAACCATTTTCTACGTTACCATTCCTATAGGACAATTTATCCACATTTGTTTCCACTATATGCCCCTTTTGCATATTGGAAAATTTTGCAAGACGGTTAAGTGCTTTGATAACACCTTGATAAACTGAATCAACTTCAGGTTCTGTGAGTATTATTAAATTCGATGGTAATACTTCAGGAATACCACCCACACGAGTGGATACTACTTGCAGACCACATGACGCTGCTTCTACTATTGCCATACAATAGGCCTCCGTTAGCGAGGTATTGACGAAAATGTGCCCTCGCACAAGAATATCGCGAACTTGTGAATGTTCAACTGCTCCTATCAATTCAACACGATTTTGCATATTGTTCTTTTCACGCACCTCCTCCAAGAGATCTCGTTTCGGTCCATCGCCTACTATAATAAAATGTATATTATGTGTATGCCTGAAGCGTGGTATAACGCCAGCTAACAAGTCGATTCCTTTACGGTATACAAGGCGGGATGCAACAACAATGTTAACTAGAAAATAATAAAACTATTAGTTAAATTTTTTTTATTCAAAAATTGATTTACTTGTGCCATCCGTTGGACGTTTGCTGGGGTCTGGCGTAAATAAAGCAGTATCAACTGCATTCGGAATGACAGAAACTTTTTCCTTTGGTATGCGCGCTCGCAATACTGTATTTTCTTTCCCTATTGAAACATGAAATATTTCATAATCCACAAAAAACTAGTAACGAAACTCGTTCAACTCACCAATATGAGAAACACAAATGCAGTGATTTACATTCGATAAATTAATCTGCAACATTTTATTAGTAAAAACAGCTGACAAATCAGCAAAACCGAAGAGGCTGTGATCTGTAAAGACTGTCTGCAAACAAAATTAAGTTCAATTTCCTTTTTTTCAATAGTCATATTAGCATACCCTTAAACCTAGCATGTTTCCAATAATCATAGCTTCATGTGCCAAAGTGCTGAATGCCGAGTGGCCATGCACAACTTCGATACACTCGCGCAAAAGCACACAACGTATCAGAGGTATTTGACATAATATTGTTGGCAGTATACATTGATTGTAGAACGGTTTAATTGGCAAGTAATAGACTTTTAATCCATTTGTTAAGTATCGTATCCCTTTGCAATCACCGTAAGAATGTGTTAGCACAATGACCTAGTTATGAAACGATAAAGGTTGAGTTCTCAATTCGCTAGAATCAACATTTTTAATGACTCACTTTATGTCCGTGGGCTAACAATATTTGCGATAAATTGAAAACGTGTTCCTCCACACCGCCTATACTTGGATAGAAAAAATCCGTCACCATACTATAAGGGTGAAAGATGTTACAATTAAGCTCTTATGTTAAGTCAAATTTATTACCATATTCGCATTTTTTCTCAAAAATATAACTCATTTGTTTATTACACTTCGCTTGTAACAATAAAAACAAAAAATCAGCTGTTCTTTTGCTATCAATCCACAAAGGTAAACAAATAATTTGACGTCTGTTTAGGGTTGTTGTTTAGTTCCCTTAATTAATGTTTTGTAATTCCGTAATTGATGTATATATTTATATTTATGCAACTGTAGCAGTTTTCAGAATACCCGATATATTATTTCAAATTTCTATGAAGCATACTATCGTCGACTATCAAAAGATATTGGAAAACAAAGTTTCTCGGTTACAGAGCTTTGTACGCAAAATAAACAAATAAATAAAAGCTAAGTAAATAAAAAAGAACAATGGATCATTTACAACACTCTGCGCTAAAATATATATTCCATCCTTTACACCCTGCATGAGTTTGATAACAGTGTGAAAAAGAGATTACACTATATATAAAAATTCAATTCACTATGCGTACATTTCGTTTTAGTCCAAGTGACCGGTAAAGAAGACATGAGTGAGAGAAAGTATCTCTAAACTTGTAAAAGCAGTAAGTGTAAGCGAGAATGAATGAGTGTCCGACTCTAGTACAAATTCGTCAACAAAGCTGCATTATTTAGTATGGATCTATATGTATTATGTGTAAACTTGTAAAATATTCAATTATCGCAGATTTTAAGCTGTCAAACTTTCAGCAACTTACATTTTAATCATACTCCCATGCTATTTTGATATCTTGATCCCTGAATAATCGTGAGTTTAGCTTCACGTGGTTAGAGCACATTTTCTATAGTTGCAATGGTAACCCAAAAGTGATTGTTCGGAAGGCATTCATTTTGCAATCGCACCATTTACTCTACTACTATCTGTACAACACACAGAATTTTTCTAAGTTCCATTTTGTGTGGCGAGGCAAGACTTTGAAAATTTTTCATAGCAGATTTGTCTTTGCCGTGTGCCTCATTGGTTTTTAATTCCGTCTCGCGCTAAGTGGCTGAAATAAGTAATTTTAGCTGCTAAATAAAAAGCAGTGAACTGTGTGCGTGGAATATTGAGATATTTCGTGTAAATTTTCTTCAGCCAGACCGTAAAAATGAGCGTGGATGTGGCACCCGAGAATGTAAGTAGTAATTGCGGTAACGGTGAAATTTTATGTAATTTTTCGGATAATATTTTATAGAAATTATTTGATTATAAATGTACCAGGAAATACAGAAAAGTTCATATGTGAAAATTACTACAATTTCATAAAAATATTACATAGTGTAATTAATAAAAAATATGTCAGTATATCAAAAAGAATTGTTTCCTTTGTTTAAGTAGTAATTGTCTGTCTAAATGACTTGTCGGCCCCAACGCGATCGCCTTGAAATGAAAACGTCAAGTTTTTCATGAAAATGGCGACAAGTCCCCAACAGCATACATGGGCAAAATGTAATGTATCAACGGGTAAAATCAACAAAAAAAAAAAACCACCAATAGGTACATCGGTAAATGATTATATTACCGCTGTGCCAAAGTACATATGTGCGAGAAAAAAAAAAATGCAGCAAGAAGTCCGAATAAAATCTTTTATTCTAGCTAATTCAGAATTTATTTACTTTTTTTCTTACACTTAAATTTTTGCTGCCCATCCTCGTGAGCTTAAGGTTTCATTTGTGCTGATGTGTATATTTTAGATGCGGCATATACAAGTTCCAGTATGCTGTTGGTTGTAGAGCACTATTGTGTTGCTGTCATGTTGTAGGTTTCAGGCTGGCTGGTAGTTACAGGGAAAGTCAAAGATAGAAGCAGCGCAATAAGTACAAGTAGTAGCAATTGCGAGTTGTCGGTAGAGACAGAGTGAGCGAGTGAACCGTACGACATGCATATTCTTCGTAGACGTTGTCGTGGTTGTTCGGTGGTGGCGTAAAAATTTTCAAAGTCTTTTCTGGAACATCGGAGTATTGACTGTAAGTGGTAGACAGATCTGTCAAGTAATACTTACTCGATTGGGCACTGCGGAAGGGGTGTATGTATTTATTTTTTTTTATTGCAAATGCGTTGGTGGTTGGGATGAGTTCAGTAACTCTTTTGATAGTGATGTGAAAGTACAAATAATTTTGTTTAAATCTAAATGAGTATAGCTGTAAATATGTGTATGTGCTTTGGATATCACAACACTAATTTGGGTTGGCAGATTATTTTTGATTGTTTATGTTGCGGGATGAAAATCAATTATCAGATAAAAATTCTGAATGAGTTTTTTTTTTTTTTTTTTTTATAAATATAATCATTTTCATCATCATTTCATTTCATTATATCTTTAAAAGCATGCGCTAAGTCAATAAAAATACAGTTAGTAGTCATTAAATGAGATAAATTTATGTGCTTTCATGATTTCATGAGAGATTTCCTCTAGAATTATAACCTGATTTTTGTAAGAGAAGCATAAAGAATTAACCACCACTTTGCATCCCCATTTATACAGAGAGCATAAATATATTTGCCAACTACTTATTTTCATTACATTTTTGTACTTTCCACCACGTTTGTTTCATTTCATATAAAATAGCATTTCGGAAGTTACCTTAACTGATTTGTTCGTTGTTTACATTTACTACCTTGCATCTGTTTTGTAAAATCTGCATATCTGTGGAAGGTGCAAGTAAAATACATATACATATGAGTATGTACGTATGTAGATATATTTGTGCACAAAATACCTATATTTATTTGAAACCAGCTTCCCCGCTTTTTTAGGCCCAGAGGCAAATATTTATATGTATATCACACCGTGCGTACATATGTACATACATATACATATATTTACAAGCATATGAAAGTCAACCTAAAACATGCCTTTATTGCACTTTTCATATTATGCACTATATACTTGTCTCTGCATTTTCGCTTCCTTTTCGCTTGCATTTATCGTTTTCGTCTCATTTGCTATACGCTAATCTGTTAACCTTACTCCAAGTTTAATAAAAAAAATTGGATACCCTGTTGAGCATTATTTTTATATTATGTGTCCACGCACACTCACATATGCACATTATTTGGCCAGCTTTAATTTAAGGTCAAGTAAGTGTGGCTCAAATCGCTTCGTTCTAAAATTTTTCTGTAACATACATACATATTTATACATCCATGCATGTGCATATGTATTTGTATTCACAGTGTACAAAAAAAAAGGAAATGCTTGTAGGTTATTCGCCTTTTTCTTTTCTTTTTTTGTGTGAACATTCGTTATTTTCATTGTTTTTTATTTTTATAGTGCCCCCCTTTGTCGCCAGTTGTTGTTAAGTGCTGGGCTCTTGGTTGTTGTAATTTGATTGCTGTGCTGATGATCAGCATTGCTATAATGAACTTTATTCCTGTAAATGTGTAAAGTAAAGCTAATTGTGCAGGTATATGTGATTATTGAAGTTCATTCGAAATGGTAGATACATATATATAATACAAACATACTTCTTTATTATCTACTAATAATATGCTTAAAAATTATTAAAAAAAAAATATAAGTATACATATATATATGTATGTCATATGTTTGTGTTTTTATCACGAATCTCAGACGTCTTCTGACTCTGAAGAAATACTGTGATAAATGTGTTGAAATTTGTATAAGTGAGCTGTAGATCGACACCTCGGAATTTCCTCGTACATTCGCCAATATGTAGGTACATTTATGTATGTATGTATTAGAAATATATTTATATATGTACATATATGCACATATGCATCCCACTAAATAAACGCTAACTCACTCATGCTGATTGTATTGCTTGCCCCCAGAGGAACCGGCATGTAGAACATATCCGAACGAGAAAAGGTAAATTTTATAATGAATTGAAATGAGCGAGAGACAAAGAATATTATTAGGCAGTGTACGTGTAGAAATACATTTAACCACTGATGTTAATAAATTTGTTTATATGTATGTAGGTACATTTTCGAATACGAATATAGGTACACATGCCTGCATATTGTTTGTTTTTATACTATATGTATGTACTTCTACACAATCGAAGCATATCTACGTCACAATTTGTCAATACAATAAATATGCTTTTTGCACTTCAAATGTGTAATCTTTGTCCCAATCAAGATATCAAAAAGCGTTTACATATACGTATAGGTCAAATATACTTACATATATAGAGTTATATATGTGCGATTGATTTAAAAATGATAAGTATATTTTTGTATTTGGTTCATTATTACTGAATGTATTTCTTGGTTATATAATTATAAAACAATTGGTATTCATATTAACAAAAACTGTAAATTGTATAAATACCACTTGCAGTGTAGTAACAATGTCAAAGACACTATTACTTTGTCGACTAATAGTTTTCTTTGTTTACCATTATTGTCATCGTCAATTTAATTTATGCATAATGTCGAAGTGAGCGTAAATTCGTCATTTGATTGAGTTAGACGAGTCTACCAAATAATGAATGAAGTGGAAGTGTGAGCAACGTGCGCGTTGACGGCAGCTAATAATTCATTTTTGTCAAAATGCATATGTACATACATACATACTCATCTAAATTTTAGCTGTATGAGTAGAGTATGTTTGTTTTATACCGAAATAATTTATTTAAAATCAGCTGAAACCATTAGCGCGTGCTCAGAGATATCAGAGTGATGGAAAAATATCATTAATATGCACATACATATATAAATTTAGTATATTTTGAAATAGTTTGCTAAACTCTTATCTTAAATTCAATTTAAAGAAGTAATAATCTCTTGCCGGACGTTTATTTTCACGTTGAGATGTCATCGGCGGCCGCACGTGGTTCATTGCCCTAACGTGTTATGGCAGTTTTCACACTTTGGCAATTAGCTGACGATGTTCATGTGTATGTAGTAGGAACCCACATTTTACACAAATCCATACAAATATAGGTTAAAGACTACACGTCCAAGACTTATAAAATAATTAAACTAAATATTAACGATTACTTCTTTTCGTCTTTTTATTTGCAGGACATCAAGACTCAGAATGGCTCGTCTGAAATGGTGCAAGTGAATGGCGTAAGTAACGGCCATCACAGCAGTAGCAGCAGCAGTAGCAAACATAAATCTTCAAGTAAGGATAAGCATCGTGATAAAGAGCGTGACCGCGATCGCGATCATAAGAGTTCAAGCTCGAAGGATCACAAGAGTAGCAGTCGGTAAGCCAACTTTTTTGGTCTTAAACACAAAGTCCTACGAAATCTAATATTAAATATATATTTAAATTTGCTCGTACACGTTTAGCGATAAAGATAAACACCATAGTAGTTCATCGTCAAGCAGCAAGGATAAGTATCGTGATAAAGATCGTGATGGCAAGCACAGTTCGAGTTCTAGCTCGAGTCATCGGGATAAAGACCGTGATAAGGACAAGGATAAACATAAATCATCATCTTCCTCGTCGAGTTCTAGCCATCATAAGAGCTCTTCAAAGGATAAAGATCGCAGAGATAAAGATCGCGATCGTAAAGAAAGCAGTAGCTCCTCGTCAAGCAAAGATAAAGAAAAAGACCGTCATAAGTCATCTTCTTCATCTAGCTCACGTGACAAGGATAGGGATCGCCATCGCAGCTCTTCGTCCTCAAAACATAAACATTCCAGCTCTAGTTCTTCAAAATCTTCATCCGGTGGCAGGCCAAAAATTTTAGATGGGGAATTTATTAAACCAGAGCCAATTTCACAGCCTTTACTTGACTCACAATCCAATGGTTATAACAGCGATTTTGCGGCACTTAAACCAGAGCCAGTTGGCAACGATTATATGGATGAATCAAATAGTGGTTTTGAAAATAATAAAGATGGTTATGAAGAAAAGCCGGATATAAAGATGGAAGAACAAAATAATATAAATATATCTCAGGCAAGTTCGTGTGATTATTCAATGTCACAATTTAAAGAGGATGAACCGTCGTTTGTCGTAAAAGAAGAAGCCAGTGCTGACGATGATAGCATGTGCAGGCAAGAGAACCAGGATTTTGAAGATGATGAGGAAGACGTACCACTGGCAATGCGTAAGACAAATAATAATAAAACAAGTGCGCCAACTCCCGCCGAAGAGGAGGATGATGAAGAAGATATACCACTAGCAAAGCGTAAAATAAAAGTGGAAGAAGACGACGATGAGGATGTACCATTACTGGCAAGAAAAAAGGTTAAGAAAGAATCATCATCAAAGTCAAAAAATAAAAAGAAACGTGTAAAAGAAGAAGAAGAAGAGGAGTATGGTGAAACTAAGCCTAAAAAGAAGAAAACCAAGAAGGTACATTTAATCAAAAGTTGTACGCATAAATTTGTTTATATATACATTTATTTTTTATCTCTTTAGGTCGAAACGCAAACACAAGTCAAACAAGAGACTGCTTCTCCAACCAAACGCAAGAAGAAGGAAGAGGAGGAAGATGAAGTCTGGAGATGGTGAGTATACTTTTCTTACTGGGCTTCGTCATAAGTAACTTTCCCATAGATACAGTAGTTTTACGGAACAAGACTTTTAAAAGAATTAAATTAGTTATTTTCGACTGTTCACAGCACATTTGCCCCTTCATTATTATCAGCTGAGTTAGCAAATATGTGATCAGCTGATGTTAGTTTAAGGTACATTGTATTTGTATACAAGTTTGAAAGCCAATGGAGTTGTCACTTTGCATGCACATATGCATGGGTTTGAAGGTTAGGTTTAGCTGTCATTTCTGCCAGCACTGAAGTGATAAATTTTGTTGTTCAGAAGAGTGTAGTTTGCGTAATGTGGCTAAAATCATTGCTGCAACTCCATGGCGAAGGCAACGAATGCATTTATTTTAGTCAGGGAACGCGTTGCCTTCGCCGCAAGCAACAGAAAGCCTATTCTTTGGAACCATCTTTATTGCACAATACTTAGCAATATATCTGCTTTCAATTTCGGAACAAAATCAATCAAAAACACTTTTACTTCCCAAAAAGTGCGCAAATTACCATTAAAGAGTTTAAAAACTAAAAATACTCTTCTGAATACAAATTTCAGGTGGGAAGAAGAGAAACGCGAAGATGGCGTAAAATGGAATACGCTAGAGCATAAGGGACCAGTTTTTGCACCGCCGTATGTACGTGTACCGAAAAATGTTCGATTCTTTTACGATGGCAAACCCATGGAGCTGTCTGAAGAAACTGAGGAGGCCGCTACATTCTATGCCAAAATGTTAAATCATGACTATTGCACAAAACAAATTTTCAATGATAATTTCTTTAAAGACTTCCGTAAGACTATGACATCGAAAGAACGGGAAATAATAAAAGACTTCAAAAAGTGCAATTTTGAGGAGATGTTCAATTACTTCACTGCAGAATCCGAGAAACGAAAGAATGCCTCAAAAGAGGAGAAACTGGCTAAAAAGTTGGAAAATGAGGCATTGATAAAAGAATATGGTACATGTATTATTGATGGTCATAAAGAAAAAATTGGAAACTTTAGATTAGAACCGCCAGGTCTGTTCCGCGGACGTGGCGAACATCCGAAAATGGGTATGATTAAACGTCGTATCCAGGCCGGAGATGTTTCAATTAACTGTGGTAAAGAATCGAAAATTCCATCACCGCCACCGGGTCACCGTTGGAAAGAGGTGCGTCACGATAATACCGTCACCTGGTTAGCTTCATGGGTGGAAAATGTGCAAGGTCAAGTGAAATATATTATGTTGAATCCCTCATCTAAATTAAAGGGTGAAAAGGATCACGTGAAGTACGAAACTGCACGACGCTTAGCTAAATCAATTGATAAAATACGTGCCACATATCGCGATGAATGGAAATCAAAAGAAATGCGTGTGCGACAGCGTGCCGTTGCATTGTACTTCATCGATAAATTGGCGCTGAGAGCTGGCAATGAAAAGGATGAAGATCAGGCAGACACCGTTGGTTGCTGTTCACTTCGCGTTGAGCATGTTAAATTGGCAAAACAGCTGAATGGAAAAGAGAATGTCGTCATATTCGATTTTCTTGGTAAGGATTCAATTCGTTATTACAACGAAGTAGAAGTTGAAAAACGCGTCTTCAAGAATTTGGAACTTTTCTTGGAAAACAAAAAGGAAGGAGATGATCTATTTGATCGTTTAAACACGCAAGTGCTCAACGAACATTTGAAAGAGCTTATGGAAGGTACGTTTTTAAACATGCGCACCAGTGTAATAATTGTAAAGGTTAATATATGATTTTAATTATTTTTTACAGGACTCACTGCCAAAGTGTTCCGTACCTACAACGCCTCAATTACGTTACAAAATCAATTGGATTTACTTACCGAAGAGAGCATGTCACCTGCAGAGAAGTTGCTTGCATATAATCGTGCTAATCGCGCCGTAGCCATATTATGTAACCATCAACGTTCTGTGCCGAAAGGCCATGAAAAATCAATGGAGAACTTGAAGGAGAAGATACGTCAGAAGCGTGAACTGATTGAGGATGCTGAATCGGAGTTTCATGTAAGTTTCAAGGAGTCAGACATTATATAAATGGCTTTTATAGTCTTTGAAAAAAACACATACATATATATCTAATACAATTATAATTTTAGGATCTGAAAAGGGCCGCTAAACGTGGTTCTGTAAAGGAGCGGGTTATGGCTGATAAAAAGGGCAAACAATTGGAAAAATTGAAAGAGCAGCTCAAAAAGTTAGAGCTACAAGAGACTGATAGGGATGAGAATAAAACGATTGCATTGGGCACATCAAAGTTGAATTACTTAGATCCACGTATTACTGTCGCATGGTGAGTACGGTGCATCGTAACGGCACTTAAAAGCTTTACAGAAAGAATTTTAGAAACCAATAAAGCTTACCAACATATATGTATTTATTTGTATTTACAGGTGTAAAAAACACGGTGTACCAATTGAGAAAATATTCAATAAAACTCAAAGAAATAAATTCATGTGGGCTATACATATGGCTGGGGAGGATTACCGCTTCTAAATACATAATCAAGTAGTGTACGTCGGCGATTTCGAATGAGAACTTTTTCAGAAGTTATATAGTATGACGTATTATTTGGAGCAAAAAATTGAAAGCAGGATATTTAGCAACTTCCTCCGTATGCTGCAGCACCACTACTACCACCACCCACCACTTAACACTGTAGACGAAGTTAATGGAAGCATAAATGAAATTTATAGAGAAAAGAGTAATACGAAGACTCGGCGATGCCATCAATGCATAACAGAAGAACAGATCAATTGAGGGTCGAGGCGATTACGCACATGCCTCAAACTATTTATATATTGTGTATGAAATATACATATATACATATAACGTAAACATATTATCCATAGCATATAAAACGTAAAGTAACAATGAACTTATTTCATTATTAACTATGATACATACACACACATGTAACAATTCTTGCAATACAAAAATTTGCATACATAATTAAATATGTATGCCTTTAGTTATTTAAGTTAATAGGATTTGCGGTCTGCCGTTTAATGTGTGAATGGCAATTTACCTATAGACTACTTATTATCAAATAGACAAACATACATAAAACACTCAATCATTATTTAGTAGAACGAATTAGCGTACAAATTTTAGAAAGGAAATTTTTGAAATTCACAATTTCATTTAATTTTTAAAACGCTATAGGAATTACAATTACATTTATAAAAAAAAATTAAAAAGAGAATCAAACAGAAGGCAAACTCAATTCAACATGAAAATTAAGTTATTTAAATTAACGGGCAACGCAGAGTATACAGCGGTAAAAACGAGTTTTACTAGAATATTGAAAACATCCATACATACATATATATATATATGTACTATTTAGTTTTAGTAGAAATTATGTTTTTAAAAATAATATACAAACAAGGCAAATAAAAATGTGTGTTTCTTTTTTGATTTTTCCTCAAAGAAGGACACAACACTATGCATATACTTACTTACACATACATATACAGATGTCAAACAAACAAACATTATTTGAGTTAAATAAATTTTTAGCATAATTCATAACAATTTTATCTTATCTCTATGTAAATGTAAGGAAATACACTATTATATAATAATTATAAGTTGCCAGAGCAAAGAAAGAGGGAAAACCGCTTCGTGTTAACTCTGATGTATGAAGAAAACATATATAAAAAATATTGTCATTGTAGCGGGCTAATTCAGAATTTTCCCAATTAATGTGTAATAATTTAGATTGGATCTTAGATGCAATTACTCGAAAATTTGCATTGAAAAAAAAAAAAGAAAAGAAAAACAAGATACTATAGACATTTAATTCTAATACAAATGTGAAAAAAAAGAAAATCTATATGCAATTTAGTTTATGATTTATTATTATAATTATTTGTATTTTTTAAATTTAATTCTACACATGAGAAAATATTTTTAATTATAATAACAAAAATATATATATATGTATATATATACAAAAATACACAAATGTGCATAGATATATTCAGCAATTAACGGTTGAATAACGTTTATACCTACCAACAACACACACTTCCACTATTACAATATGCCACAATATTTCGTACACACATAAAACCATACTACAAACTATTATAACCAATTGTTTTTGTATTATTTAAGTTACAAATCAGAAATATATCAAACAATATCTTGTAATGTAAAAAAAAAAAATTCAAAAGTATTTAATTTGTTTATTTTGTGTTGATAAAAAGAGTGTGTTTCAAATTCTCATTTCTTTTGTATTTTTGGCGCTGTGAAGATGTCCAGAAAATACTGCAACCGATATTGAAACATACCAATTACTTCTCACTTGTGTTGAAGCAGCACTGAAAGGCCACATATAGTGGTAACTACTGCCTTTCGGTTAACTTGACGAGTGCGACAAACAGTTTGGGCACAATGTGGGAAACCTTCACTATCATTCAGATTTAGTTATTAAATGTTTTTAAAAAGATGTTTGTTTAGCCGCTGTTGGTTTGCGCATTTTCAAACACCCAACTGGTGCTTCCTTCTAGGGTTTATGAGTTCAAGGTTGCGAATAACTGCACTTTTGTGTTTTTTTATTTGCTTGTGCTTGGAAGTAGTATGACACGATATGTTGGTCATAATTTCAAGAAAAATCGCGTCCAGGGTATCAATCATTTTTTCTCCAAAAAAGCAACATTTACGAAAAGGAAACGTGCACATTTATGATTATTTCATTAGATTATCGGAATTTTCATGACTTGTTAGCTAATAATTTCTTATATCTATTTCTGAGAGGAAATCCCACGTCGCATTTATTTTATTTGATGAATTTTATTATATAAAAATCATACTTTTTAAGACTAAAACAAAATTGCACGGGAATTATCGCAATCGTACCAGCAAGTACATCCAAACTGGAGATAATATATTATTTTTTAATGTGTTACTAGTTCACACACACACACACACACACACACACACACACACACACACACACACACACACACGCCCAACGAGTAAATTAATTGCTGTAAAATAACCAAAAATTTGAAGTAATAAAAAATTAATTACACAAAAGTCGATTAAGGTCACAAGGTCACGCCAACTGTGTTTATACTTTAGTTTCATTTTAGTATTAAGCAGATAAATTTTATAAAAATAAAAAAATCAAAACCCTTAAAATTACGAAATAGAACGTAAATTGCAATTTTGGATTGTGGAGAAAAGGCAAAACTAAATAGAAGAAGGTATAATTAATACTTAAAATTAAAACAAACGAAAAATATTTTTAAGAGCGACTATTTGAAAAAAAAAAAATTTAACTCACATTATAGTCTGTACACACATACAAATGTATGCTTTAGTAGGTATTTAATTGTCAGCTGATAATACATACCGAAATACATACATACATAATTTTATTACTAACCACTAACCACTAACCACATTAAACGGAGGTGATCAATCAATCAACGCAGCAAGACGAGTTTCAGACTTACATACATACATACTTATGAAACTTCAAAAGTATTTGCACATCAAATGTAGTTAAGTAAGCGTGCACGTACATACGACATATGTATGTACATGTGTATGTAAGAAGTAAGCAAATTAAATAAAGTGAAAAATTTTAAATTCACAAATAGTAAGAAATACCATATATACATACATATGCAATACACATGCATCAATTTACGCATAAACAATTATGCATTGCATATGTATAATAATATATCAAAGGATAAATAAAAGATGGAAAATTCATATGGACTTTTTTACTGCTTTAAAAAATGAGCTCATGCTACTAAAGAGATGGTTGTCGTGTGCGGGAGGCTAGGCCAATAAGGTCAAAAATGTCAGGGCGGTTGGTAGCGTCACTGGCTGAATGCTTAGTTCGAGCAACGCCGTGCACTGGAACGTCTAGTTGGGATATTCGGCTTGAACAGTGAAGTGAACTAAGTTAAGGTAAGTTGGTTATGGCCATTAAAATAATTAAAAATTAAGTGCTTACATTTTGGTCATCATAAAACTAGATTTAATAATTCAAAAAAAAAAAAAAAAAAAAAAAAAAAAAAAAAATTAAAAAAAAAAAAAAAAAAAAAAAAAAATTCAAAAAAAAAAAAATAAAAAAAAATCAAATGCTTATATTTTGGTCATGAATATACCTTTCATATAATTTTGAAAGATTTTTAAAAATATTACAAAGTACTATTAAAGATTAAGAAGCCTCATATAAAAATACTAAGGCCAAAGTCTTTCAAAACTCTTAAAGGGATTGAATTTATTTAAAAAAATATCAAAGCGCACATTTAAAGTATAAAAAAAATTTTCTCGAGTTGAGCTATGAGAAAAAACCTAAAGAAAAATTTCATTTCTTATTTTTTAACCTATAATAATTAACTTTTATTGTCATGGAAGGATTCCAAACTACTTGGAGTACGAGATAGGAAATCATGTAAGGCATATAGAGTTCAGTTAATCCCTGCATGTAGAAGTCAAAAAAAATTTACAAAAAAAAAAAACATCAAAAACTTGTTCCATTAATATACAGACATTTATTTTGATATTTTGCACTTTGTAATAATTTCACTTATTAAACAACATTAAGACAAATATTAACAAACCGATAATTAGCTATATATGTATGCACTCATATATTATCTTAAAACTAAAGTATAAACTATAATTATTATTTTTTTAATGTAGTGCTTTAAATATATTTCGATTCTTTTTTCATCAATACATTTTCATTGGTATGCATTTATTCAATCATGCAGTGTATGCATTAAAATGCATTATTATTTATTTCGATATTTTCCTTAATAAATATAAAATATATAGGCTTGCGGTCTAAGTGACAAGGATAAAGATGTACAATATGTATTTCGGGCGCATAGATATTCATATTTAACTCTAGTTTTATTTATTTTTTCGACGTTACCTAAATGCCAGCAAGATACAGTATATGGGCTTTTAGGTATTATATAAACTTAAGCGTCAGTATGTATTAGACATAGATTGCATTTTCTTTTTTAATAATTTAGCCGTGTAACTTATTTTTAAATGCATTTCGTTACGCATTCTACAAATTCTTATGAGACAGCTACAATACAATAGCGCTGTTATTTGAAGCTTTTTTTTTAAATATAGTTATAATTTGATTGACTATTTAAATAAGGCAAAATATTAAGTATATTTTACAACAACATTAAACGCATATGCTGCTGTATATATGTATATGTAAATGTATATATTAAGTCATTAATGCACAAAAATTGGAAGCAAAGAAGAGATTAAAAAATTCGTTATGAGAAATGCTAATGTACATATAACTGAGTATCATGCGTGTGCTGCACGACATGCTGTGCTATTGCGATAAAAAAACAATACTTTTAACACAAAAAAAAAAAAAAAACACAAGACAACAAATAGCCCAACATTAAAACATATTACACAAGATTAAGCGCGCTCTTGAGCAACTACATAAGCGTACAACTAAATACAATACAACAACAAGTGTGGGGCATAAAATTTTGTCTAATCTAAAGCATTGATACGAGCACTGTTTATGGCAACACCATCGCCACCACCACCACCACCACTGGCGCCACCTCTGCCATCATTCAAGCCACTTTCATCGGCGGCAACCGCAACACCAGTGGACAGTGTGCCACCCATATCACTGGATATGAAACGATGCATGAAATCGCGACAACGCGTCTCTCGATAAAAATCGCGACCAGGCTGTGTGGTGCTGCGCAACAATACACGTCCGAAAATGTTAGCTGTAACAATTTAGAAATGTATTTCATAACAATTTCTTACATTTCCTTTTTTTTTGTGAGGTAATTGTGTACATACCAACTTGCTGTAGATTATAATACTCCCGTTCTATGCCCTGACGCAGAAACATACACAAATGCACGAATACATTACGACGCGGTGAACTTAATAACGAAATTAATTCCATCGCTTCAGCGGCGGTATTTGTTTGTAGCAAATCTTCTACAAAAGGATCCAACAAAGGCTTATCTGGTAAATCTAATAGCATAAGTAAAGCCTCTGCGGCGGCTTGTGGCGTGCCAGCTGAAGTGTATAAGTAAAAATTATTATTTTCTTAAATAAATACTAAATTAAATTATTTGTGCACTCACGAAACTCCTCAGGCGACCACGTATCCAACCAGTCACGTACAACATTAAATTGAGGGGTGCGTGAAAATTTATACTCCAGATTTGTGAAAGCGCCTTCCACTTTGTCGCCCTGTTTGTGTAAAAAGTCGATTAAGAAGAAAAATTCCCGCGGCATAGTTACACGAAATTCGGGTGAATCATCGTTCATCTAAAATGTGACAATTTACCAGCAAATATTGTTGAATAATATAATATAATTATTTATGCGCACTCACCAATTCTTTGATCTGTGTTTGTGTATATTCACCAACTGGTCGATTGGTGCGACAGAGTGTTTCCATCGAAAGTCCAAAACAGCTCGGCTTGTATTCACCAGTGACTGTAAGGAATATATCCGGTCCATTTTTCACATGCAGAATCAAAATGTCGAAATCGAATTTCCAATTGGTGGTGCGTATTTTGCGTAACAAACCCGTGATGGAACGCACATCAGCTAGCAATTTGACGCGTATACTTTTGGTACTTTCGGTCATTAACATTTCAGCGCGCGGCTCGACTTGCAACCACTTCTCGCATATATCATTCAAAGGTGGATCTTTGACTTTGAACATAAATTCTACTGGCATGGCGCATGTATTTGAGACAGTGAAATCCCGCACTGCCAACTCATTGAAACGTACCACACCAAAATCAATAACAGTTTTATCAACATTAATTTGTGGCTGATTTTCATTTTCACGTTTATCGACCAATTTGAGTACCTCTTCGTGTACACGTTTATAGCGCTTTTCATCCTTTGTTTTTATTTTTACTCTAAATATGGCATAAACGGGCTTATGGTCACTCTTTCGTATTTCCATTATGCAATTATAAGCCAGATGCTCTATACGCACACCTTTCCATAGTACACGATCACAGTAGGCGGGAGCGCGTTGTTTCTCACTATCATAATGAATTGCAATGTTATATACATTTATGGCAATTAATCAATAATCCTACCTGCTATCAAAATTATCTGTGCCAATGTCGTATTTGTATGAGGGTCGAAATTTGATAGGACCTTCTGAGTAACCATCAAAACAGTTACCTTTTCCCATCTCTATACGTAACTGATCATACTTCATAAGTACATCGTAAGCGTTTGGTGAGGCGCGATTACATGGCAGTTGCAAGCCAGGTGGCTCTTCAATACGATAATTTAAGTCACCAATCCAAAATATATGACTAAAAAATAAAGAAATAAAAATTCCATATTAAGAAAACATGTCTATACTTTGTATTCACTACTCACTCATGATCATTAATGGTACGCTTTAGATCGTCGTCAAAAACTATACCGCGCACAATTCCCGCATAATCCTCATTACGCGCTTCTACAAAGCCCATATGCGCCGCTAGATGAGAGTTTACAAAACAGAGATTACCCTCATTCAGTTGTATGCTCACCGCTACGCCACCTTTGTTACCCAGGGTATTGAATACGCCACGTGCAACTGTTTTGACACGACAACGTGCTATATATGGTCGCAATTGCTTGCGTATAATAATGGTTAATTGCATGCCGACCAGACGTACACTAGTCAACTCCTCATATTCAGCGCCTTTGTGTAGACTCGAAAGCATTTTACTTCTGCAATTTAATGAACAAATACATTAAAAATAAATCTTGTTTAATTTTGGAAAAGTAAGAAACTCACATCCATAATGGATCAGGGCGATTCTCACTGAATGTTATGGCTTTCGCTGATGTATCCAGCTCTTGTAAACCTATGGCATATATGTCGGCAGGTTGATCACCATTTGATAACCACAAATCCAACGGACAATCGCTATACGGTTTATTATTTACATTCCACGTTCCACAATAAATGCTAAACAGTCAATTAGTAGAAGAAACCGATTTAAAATAAATTATAAATCAATTATTTCTTCAGCCCTTCATAATTTCCTTTTTTAAACTTACATAAAATCTTTGAAAACAATATATTCATTTTCGCGTCGTTTTAACTCTTGTTTCACCTCACCGATTTGACGATAATCGTTAAGCCAACTATAACTCAATATCGAATCCGTGGTCGCGCTGGAATGCGTCATTGAAAATTTAGCCGATATGATTTGTGCATGAAATGTTTCGAAATCTGATGCGCCCTCAGCAGATATGATCGGATAATAAAAATATTTCACGGCCGACTCATCAGCTGTTTTTAGATCGAATTGCAATTGCGATATTGACCCCTTTTTATCTAAAATTAAAAATTAATCACATTTTGTGATTAAGCATCTTATACATGTATTTAACAGTAACTTACCACTACCCATTTGAAAAGTTTCATTTAGGGCAAAAATCTTATCTATGGTTAAGTCGTTGACGTTGCGGGGCGGTAGACGAGCGGTGGCCAATGAAAAAACTGCGTATGTACCCCCAGCCACACATACAACTAAAGCCAACAAGCGACTACGATGCTCTTGCCCAATTATTTGATAGGCTTCGAAAATCTGAAATATAAAATTAATATAAATGAAATTATATTTGGCAGATGGATTAAAAATACAAGCATATGCATAAGCATACCGATAAGACTTTTTCATTATCCTTGAATTTTCTTTGAACCACTTCAATTGTATTCAGTGTTGCTTCGCCATCTCTCACATCACTTTCCGTGGCTCCACTTCCGCCAATTAAGGCTGTACTGGATACGGCAGCCGATATGGTGGGGATACTATTCAATGACGATAGTGTCGTTGACTTCGACGTCATGGCCGGATCTGTGTTCATCTTGAGTTTTACTTCCTTAATGCGATTAATACTCAACTCTAACTAGAATTATAACGATTTTGGCGAAATTTTCTTTTTTCATTTGTTGCTATTTTTAGCACTATTTTATACTCTATTTTGTTTGTTTTAAAACGTCATCGATAAGCTATGAAGTTTTGCGTCAGAAAGAGAGACTTCCACAATTACACTACCACTGCTTTGCTGCATAGAGAGTTGTGGGTGTTGTGTTGTTTTCCATAACAAAGTTTTCGCTTCTACTTCACTAAAACTAATGTTTGCACTGCGATAAATCAATAAATTAGCCAATTTTTAGTTTTCACTATATACATTTAATTTTAAAATGCCTTCGACATGCTAATTAATTTATTTATGTACTTCGCTCGCGTAAAAATGGATTTACTTTGCCGTTCCGCTGCTTTGGTCGTTGAAAATTTATTGACATTTATCGAAATGTCAAATATGGTATTGCCAATTGGAAGATTTTCTGTTCGGAAGTTTAGAACTTTATTTGACTTTAAATTTAAAGTTTTGTTAGTTTGCGTGTGACTGTTAACACCTCCGAGCTTTTTTCTGACATGGAATGAATAACTCCTCATAGCAATTAATCAGCTGTTCGCAAGCGGCTTAGAATAAACTGTAGGTCCATCCCTTTTGTTGCAAAACCATTCGGAACACACATCAAACATTGGAGGAGGTGGCCGGCTGATATATATACATACATACATATATCGGAAAGAAAGGAATAATCGGTATATCCATGAGTTTTTGTTTACGCATCACGAAAATAGAACATATACATATGTAATGCTGGATTCCAGCACAAGACAACTTATCAAAATACTCGGTTGTTGTGATAGGCGAACGACATGCCTCCAAATGCCCAACAAAATAAGAACCAGCCTCTGCGCAGCAAGGAACGGCCGCTAACAAATACAAGGATGATTCGACTTCGAAAAGCTGCAATCACAACAACCACAGGTCAAAAAGCAGCTAATACGATGAGTAGTGCCGTGCCACTGTGGAGAGAAAACAAGCTGCCTAACTCGCAATGCTGTCATCGACTATTACAAGTGCACGGTGGGACAGGTACCGAGAACGGAAGAGGGAAGCAAGTCGCATGTACAATATAACCAAAAAAAGAATGAGACCGAGTCGTATGAGTAGCTTGAAGCCTTACATGCTGATCGCCAAGGGTAAAGCTGGAAAATTGTATAAAAATATATGACGACTTACATAAGACTGGAGCAAACTCTAGCATAAGACCAGAGTATACTGAATTTATAGCTATTGAATGACAGTGAAAATGGAATGACAGGAGATGGTGAACCAGACTTCCTAATTGATGACATTGGTACAGATGTTTGCTCGACTGTGGAAAAGTCGAGCTATTCAAATACGGCGGTGAAGAACTGATAGGTGCCTGCCTCGGCTTTTTTTTTTTTTAAATATGGTTGGTGAATGCATGCTCGACGATTGGAAAGTATATGCGCTCTGCCTAATACCCAGTCTGCGCTAATTACTGTGCCATTAGAATCCTAAATTTTTCTTATATTGTCCTAACGAACGTATTGTGAGAAAGACTAAAGCCCATCGTCGATCAACTGATTGGACCTTAGTAGTGCGGCTTTAAAACTGGCGCATTGATCACTATAAGACAAATAAGGGAAAACTCCTGACAAGAGAGGATTTTAAAGCAGCCTTTGACAGCACGAAAAGGAGCTGCCTTTACGACGCTATGTCTGAGTTCGGTACTTCCACAAAACTTATACGGATGTGTACACCGACGTTAAGCAATACCAAAAGCTCCAGAGCTATATATTGAAGGTACAATCTTCTATAAAAGTGCTCAGCTGCTGGCGTACACCAATAATATTGACATTATTGGCCTCAACAACCGCAGCCGTGAGCTCTGCTTTCTCCAGACTAGATAAAGAAGCAAAGGATATTGATCTGGTAGTGAAGGAGGGCAAGACGAAATATCTCCTGTCACCACACAAACAGTCATCGCGTCCGCGACTCGGCTTCCACGTCACTGTTGACAGTCATAACTTTGAAGTATATAATTTCGTCTATCTAGGAACCAGCATTTATACCAACTGGTACTAATAAGTAACTTTATCTCTTGCCTATATGGTGCGAATACCGTAAGCGATGGAACATTTGATCAAGATCAAGAGACGGCGGTATGGTGGGCGGTTCGGAAAAAGTTACTCCAGTTCTAAAAGGGGGAAGAGGAAGGCCTCCACCACTCTGTTGATAGGACCAGAGGAAGAAGGACTTGGCTGCAGCATAAACAATAAACCGATGCATATACTAAGGTGATTAATAAAGTTTCACATTTTTACACTAGAAACCTTTTTTTATTTTTGAAAACATCTATGTATGTATTTAGTTGTATGTACCTTTGTATATTCATTGAAAGCCGCATACATTAATTCACTTCCATCGGGATTCGCTGTTGATTTATAATCATATACAAGTCGTACAAAAGGATATTACAAATTTACTCCCACTTAAGCATGTAGACCTACTGGGCTTACTCCTACACAACTTAGCTTATTTAGCGACATCGTCTAGTGGTTTTGGGCGACAAAGTTGATCCTTCAGTCAACGTGGTGTGTGCGAGCGAGTTAATTTAAAGTTACCGCTTACAGCATGCAAGTGTGTCGGCAAACACACGTAAGTTTTTTCTAACTACACAGCAAACCAAATATAACGCGGTATATACTGTTATTAGTTGACTTCAGCTTATGAGACACTTTAAAAGATAGCAGCACTTCAAAATCGTAATGGAAAAATTAAAAAAAATTCAGTTGTTAAATAGTTTGCCTTTGATTTGCTTTTCTTAGCTGGATTCTTCGCCTGGGAGCCTGCTTAGGAGGGTGAGTGAGAAATTCTAATTTTCTACTAAGCGCACTTAGCTGGTTGACTGGGATGTACCGGGATTGAGACAAGCATTGCAACTGCAGGTACTATCTCGGGGGATGAGTTGAAGGTCTGTCTGGTAGATGCATTGGCGCTACACCTTGCGTTTTGTATGTTTATTTAATGGGCAGAAGTTGTAATTCATTTTCATATTCATGCCAAGTTTTCTTCACAATTTTCCATCGTTTCTATGTAGAGTTGCCAGCCGTTAGCTAGACTTAGATGAGATGAATAAATAAAGAGAGTAAGTAACTCTTTGATGTATCTCGAAACTAGAGAGTGTTATTGTAGGACTTGAGAGATAATTTGCTGGGAATGTTGGGCCCGAACGCATAATCAATCAGGCTTGAGCATCGACTATCGAGAACCAAGGCTTACGGTTCCAGTACTGGTCAACGGTTCAAAGGGAATTCCACTGGATTTAAAATCGTTTTCGCGATCATTGTTTAATGATTGATATGCAGAAGACATAAAATGCGGATTGGATCCTAATTGTGTCTGGTAGTTTCACAGAAAATTACATATTTTTATTTTTGTATGTCAATGACACATTCAGGTGAAAAACAGTCAAATTGGCATACGACTCCATCTTCCTTAGGGACGTAGGCGTTTTCAAAAGAAAGGTTTTGTGGAAAAATTATTATCTTTTGCAACGGTGCATGCCGCATACTATGGAACGATGGCGGTCGCAACAGCTGAGCAATTAGTAGTGCGTACCACCATTCGGAAGGTTACGGCTGTAAACCTGGTTCGACCAACATTCAAAATTGTAGAAAATTAATTTAAAATTAAAATTTAGTTAATTTTTGGAATTGCAATCGGACCTCACCAGGGAGTCCCCGTTTGTGGATGCTTTGTCATGGAGGCTGTTGTACCAAAAATACAATCTTTGTCTACCCTGGCCTTAAAGTCAACAAGCACCATTTTCTCATCGGGGTGAGGGCAGCATTCATAGGCGCGTTCCCAGCGCTCATAGATCTTTGGTCGCATAATTTCATCTGGGCGTAGGCGCAAATAAGAGTGATGCTTCAGTACTTGGCGACGGAGCCTCGCTTATACCATAATTCCAACTCGTTTTGTGCTCCTTTAATGGCTGCTGTTGTTGGACACTACTTCTGTCCTTTTGCCGTTCATTGCACTTCTTGAATGGCAGTGATCTTAGCCCTTAGTCTTAGGACGACATCTATCAGCAATCAAACTCTCAAGCTAAGGTCCTTAATACGTTTTTCAATGCAGCATAGTTTTTATGTGGTCGCTTTCAAATCCTACGCATAACGGAAAGCAATGCGCATTCTCTATTCAGCTCACCTCCAAATGGAAGTTTGTTTTCTACCAAGAAGATATTTGGCCTGAGCCCGAAAGTTGTGAGCTGCTTGAGCCATATGTCAAATAATCGCTTCTGGCCACTTCCAGGTAAATGACAATCACAAACTTTCCTTACTTATGTGAATTTCTACACATGGCCACATCGGTTCAAGGTTTTGGGGAATCACACCACACAAAAAAAAAACCTTGCTGGTCGTCAATCCTTGCTTGGAGATCGTTTGTATCGACTAACTGCCATTCGTCGACGACCGTTTTCATTTGACTTTGCTGTAAGTAATCGATTTTCCGTCACCAGTCCCCATCCACTTCAGAATGAACCGTTTTTTTTAACATTCAGAATCGATTCGCTGATGAAAACTCGGTGCATGAGGTTTTTTTTCTCGTTTACAAATGTGACACCCATACATCGTGCTTCTTTACTTATACAGCCTGTTTCAATTGGTTCCTCACTATTCCTAGTGAAACGCTTAGTTCCCGGACAATCGAAACAGTACTCGCAAGATGGTCATTAGGCTCGACGTTTTCCATTATTTCCCGTTTCGATCGTCTTTCGATTGTCATCTAGCGTAATCCGGTCGCATTTAGAGAAGTTAAAAAGTTCTGTGCAGATTCTTCGTATTCTTCTTTATTGGCGCAGACACCGCTTACGCGATAATAGCCATTCTTTAGCACCGATTGGTTATACCAAGTACAACCTGGTCCTTCTCTACCTGGTTACGGAGTAGAAGTCTTCCTCTTCCTTTGCTCTCACAGGCGGATGCTGCATTGAAAAATTTCAAAGCCAGATCTCAGGACCTAGCCAGTGCAACCGTTGTTTCTTGATTCGTTGAACAATATCAATGTCGCCGCATATCTCACACAGCTCATCGCTCCATTGGCTGCGGTATTCGTCGGTACCAAGTCGTAGAGGAGCACAAATCTTACGCAAAACCTTTCTCTTGAAAACTCCTAACATCGACTCATTAGATGTTGTCAGCGTCCATGGCTCTGCACCATATACCAGGAAGGGAACGAGAGTGTGGTTTTCGTTTGCCGAAAGAGGACTTTATTTTTCAATTGCCAGAGTGGTTAAGGCTGACATTGTTGTTGGTGTCAAAATTAATTTAGTTAAAAACAATAACAAAATTTTCAAATACAGATTTAATAAAAAAAAAATTTCCCTTAATA